TTGCCCCTCATATAACCACACAACATTATTTACCTCCTCATTATATAACCACACATTATTTGCCCCTCATATGACATTGACATTACATTATTTGCCCTCATATGACCACATAACATTATTTGCCCCCTCATATAACCACACAACATTATTTACCTCCTCATATAACCACACATTATTTGCCCCTCATATAACCACACATTATTTGCCCCTCATATAACATAACATTATTTTGCCCCTCACATGAGCAGGCACGTAGCAAGCCACTTTTTTCATGTAAGCCCGATAGGTTGCAAAGCTTTATACTAGTATTTATACAGTATTGAGGGCTTGCCCAACCTTTTTAGCAACAATCCTGTCTAAGCCCCGGCTTTTTTTCATAATGGTAGCTACACCCCTGATGAGTATGCAACTTTATTTGCCTCACCATATAACCACACAACATTATTCACCCTGAAATGTAACCAGATTATAATTTGCCCCCTATTAAAACATTATTTGCCCCTCGATAACTTCATATTTTCCACCTCAAATGAGTACATAACATTAATTGCCCTCACATAACCACATAAAATTACATTATTTGCGACATGACCACATAACATCATTTTGTCCCCTCATATAACCTCATATTTTCCGCCTCACATAACATTAAATGCCCTCATATAACCACATAAAATTTTCCTTCATATGACATTACATTATTTGCGACAATATGACCACATAACATTATTTGCCCCCTAATACAACACACAACATTATATATAACCACACACAGATGACATTTCATTAATTATCCACTTCAACAGAAACAGCATCAAATGTAATAAAACAGGTGAGTTGCAATCAAACGCAAATTACTTTTCCAGCATCCTATTTCATCAATAACTGACCTACTGGAAACCCCCTTCTCATCCAATTTTCCCCATTGGAAATAATTTCCTGTCGGAATGTCTGCCCTGTTTCCATCAAGGTTCATAACAGTTCTCTATTGACACAAATCGGCCTGATTTCAAACCAGCGGTAATGGTGTTTACTCTTCCTATTGGCAGTGTCAGCTGTCTTCAACAATGATCAAACAATCAGAGGATTTACAATGCTATTAAACCATGACACAACATGTCTATTTAAATGTTAAAGAGATGCCATGTACAGTAGAGGTCGCACATCACTGGAACACGTGAAACTATGTCCACAGGTTGGGCTAACTTAACAAGCGTATGCTCGATGTGTTCTTTCCTTTTTCTGTCTGTCAATGTGTTCTGTCAATGTGTTCTTTCCCTTTCTGTCAATGTGGGGTAGTCTCAAGTGGTTAAAGCGTTGGCTGGTCACCTTTTCTGTCAAATGGAGACCTTTTTCTGGGTTCTTCAATTTGCATCCCCAAATGGGTACAATGAGTGAAGCCCATTTCTGGTGTCCCCCGCCGTGATATTGCTGGAATATTGCTAAAAGTGGCGTAAAACCAAACTCAGTCAGTCAGTCAGTCGTTCCCTTTTCTGTCAATGTGTCAAACTTGTGGTTATTGTTTAACTTACATAATTAGGATATTCATTAACTGCTTGATTATTTTATGTCCTGAGATTTATATAGTATTTCCTTTGATAGCATATCGGACAAAAAAATAAATGAGATTCAATTTTGTAGTTCTCGTTTTCACGTTTTTAACATAACATTTTAACATTGCATTCAACACAAGACTGATGTAAAATTAAGCCTTGTTGTATATTTGCGTTCATTTCTATCATATTCCAGAAGACTGACTGACTGAGTTTGGTTTTACGCCGCTTTTAGCAATATTCCAGCAACATCACGGTGGGGAATACCAGAAATGTAGGGATTTGAAACCGGGTCTTCGGCGTGACGAGCCAACACTTTAACCACTAGGCCACCCCACCGGCCCTATTCCAGAAGAAGAAATTAACCATAACTAACACCATCATACTCGGATGGAACTCTTGTATTCCAATAGATGCCATGGCACTCAAAACAACCTGATGCATCAAATATCCATAACAGTATCATGGCCCAGCCTTTATTCTTTACATTTGGAACTTACCTTTTTATGTTCATTTCTAAAGTACAAACATTTAATATAGTAGTCTGAATGCTTTGCTCATTCATACTTAGAACATAAAAGCTGATACGCTGATTGGCTCACATGATGCATTGTCAATTCTTTATACAGGGGCATTATAGCACAGTAAAAGATCTGATTTAAATTGGACTGGATATTAAATGGCTCTAGTGTTGTAACAACACATCTCTATGTGTGTCATACAGTCCTCACCTCAAATTGACCCATGAAGATCCGGGTTAGAATTGTCGTAAGAGGCGACCAACAGAATCGGGTGGTCAGGCCCTCTGACTTGGTTGACTGACTAACTGACTGACTGAGTTTTGGTTTTACGCCATTTTTAGCAATATTCCAGCAACATCACGGCAGGGGACACCAGAAATGGGCTTCACACATTGTACCCATGTGGGGATTCGAACCCTAGTCTTTGGCGTGACGAGCCAACGCTTTAACCACTAGGCTACCCCACTGCCCCACTTGGTTGACGTCATTGTTTTCCAATTGTGTAGATCAATGCCCATGATGTTGTTCAGGTTATTGTATAGCCACAAAATTACTGGAATATTGCCTGAGTGTTACTGGAATATTCCAAACAACCAAGCAAACTTATCTCAAATCAACATCACAATACCCAGTATGATAATGAAAACATGATACTCGACATCATCGAAGGAAATTAGAAGCATTCCAACAAAACAGCAAAGACATGAGGGCTCTTGTGCATTCAGGTAGAAAATGATGTTTGACAATATATATTAATATCATGTTTAATAACAATATCCGGTTTCTTGTATTCAGATTAATGACATTTCCTAATTAGTAATGCACATTCTTGAATTTCATCAAACTCTGCAATGGTACATCATTGTATATATTCTAAGCAGGTCAATAATTGTTAATAGGTGGTACATAAATATTTTCCATTTGTCTGATCACCTCCGTGATGTAGTTGTTAATTATCTGCCTACGTTTTCAAAATTATTTCTATCGTATCGTGCATATTTTATCTGTACTTACGTTTGGGCTAGTACAATCTGGAGCCCTGATGCACATACACAGAATTCTCATCAAACTCTTAATGGCGAAATATTCTCAAGCATCACTTATTGTTATAGGTGGTACATTATTTATTCCATTTGTCTGATCAACACATGGGTACAATGTGTGAAGCCCATTTCTGGTGTCCCCTGCCATGATATTGCTTGAATATTCCTAAAAGTGGTGTAAAACCATACTCACTCACTCACTCACTCCATTGGTCTGATAAACAATTCGATGGAACATCACAAAAATGATGTTTTTCAAGCAAACAAGTGACTTGTTTGTAGTAAATTGTACACCACCTAGCATCATCTCCTGGCAGTCTCTGATGATGAGTCACAAACATATGTCCAGGATATGATTAGAATCATACAATGGTCTCGGCCACTGACAAAGTCTTGCTATAATTATGGAAATGCATGTTGATGAATAGAGGTGTGACGATACAGAAATTTTACGATACGATACGTATCGCGATATCATAGATTCGATACAATGCATATCACGATATGCTATCTTTAGTTATTTTCTTTATAAAAAAGTATTTTGATAACAAGAAACAGTGTAAATTTTGACATAACCGTCAATTTCTGGTGAAAAATTCACAATTTTAAGGTCAATGATACATATCACGATACGGAAAAAAGTATCGATATATCTATTGTCAGAAAAAGTATCACGATTATCGATACTACGATATATCTTCACAACTCTATTGTTGCATGTATTTATATCCAAATTCCCAAACACACACAGTAACTAAACACGGAAGCCACTTAACAGTATTTACCACATGGTATACCAACAGCTGTCATGTTTCACATCAACAGTGCTATACTGTGGTATGTGAGAGGCCCCAGGCTGATGATCCATGGCCATGTTATCATGGTCATCTCGCATGAATCATTATTCATGAGTATTGAGATGATATGACTTTAATGAATGACATATACCCCCTTTTTCATCTCTTTGTCATATTTTCCAGGCATCGAACAAGATTTGTAAGACTAAGAGCAGAAATGATTTCACTTTGTCATGTTTGAGAGTGGGCATTAAATCCTGAACTTTCCTCACACATACTTCATATCCACTTACTCAAAATCTGCAATATCAGAATTATCATTGTAATATGTTGTTGCTAATTCTCTTTTTAATGCTGTCAAATATCAATAGTCAATAAGAACAGCTGCAGTGAATGAATAGATAGAACTGAAAAAGACAAATGTTTTCAAAGAAATAATATTCATTCTGAAAATATAAAGGTGATGGGCAACCAAACATGATATCATACTGCAGGGATATTATGCCAGTGATTTAATGCACTTACACCAACTACAAGATCACTGAAGCATATCTAGTTGTTTTCCCCTGGCAGCTGTATTTCATACAATGGGGAAATATAGATTTAATGTTAAGTACGTTTTAAACATCTGTAACCAAACTGGATTTTTCACATATATAAAACAACTCAGTCTCTACGACTGTTGAAAGTGACTTGTGTTCTAAATTCTGAATTTCCAAGTGACACGGGCGCCAAGTTTAAAAAACCATGTCTTATCGTATGGAACGAATCAACGCCGTTGCTTCTGAAGACAAGCATGGGGAATAGTATTTTTGTCTTCACCTCCGCGCGGTGCTTAGAAGCCATATGCCCTTGAAGATGTTAGCTGACTGGTACTGGCGGCTGACGGCATGTGTGAGTGCGGTAACAGGGGGTATACCTATCTCATGTAACGGTACAAGCTATGCCTGGCAGTGGTAGGTTAACCTTAGCGTTCACGAAACGCCATCGGCTAATCACGCTGGTCGATCTTGTCGGCATGGTCGATAAGTGTTGGAATAAACATGCACTGGCACACATTCATTAATAATTACAATAAAGACTCACCGTTCTGAGAAACGACACATCATCTTGTTCCGACCCCCCACCTTCGGCCGGGTCCGCCATCTTTGCTGGCTATCAGGAACCTTCGATGGTGTATTCCTAGTACCAGCGATTGGTGGCAGTCCGTAGACACTTCACGGCACTAACCAAAAGGGATCGATGTGTGGTAATCAAAGCTTATACCTCGTACATTCCGGAATCATAAGTTACATCGTTGTCGAAACATCTCCGTGCTAACTTGCGACGGCCACTGCCAGAACAGCAGGCAACAGAGAACAGCCTCTGAGCGCGTGCGCTTCGCGAGAGAGTAAGCCAACGTTGAAATCGATATGGCTCGCGCCTAGCATCAAACAAGCTAAGGTAGCGAGTAGCAGCATTTAGCTGCTGCACTCCGCATTCCGAGACAGTTTTAACACACCTTGAAAAAAGATATACTACAGTTGCGCAGCTGATATTTATTATGAAGACAGATCGATAATCTAGTCATCTGAATGACCGTATCCACTCTTTGCGGGGAATATTCTTTTAACGTTACTTCTAGGGTGCTTACAGCGCTGAAAACATTTAACGTGTTCTAGCAATCAAAGTTTCATGATGCCGCAGTCATGGATGGTTTATTTTGAAGGAAGCATTAAAAAGCATTTTCTTCCATCCGGCAGTATGTTGGGCGGTGATCGTGGTTGATGGTGGTTGTTTTGTGACAGCTGTGAGAATGCGGTAAACGATCCATCACGAGTTGAACTCAGATACAGTCGTATCGTTAACTGTTAAAGTGGCATTGCAAGCCAGACAGGTGGATATACATAACACATGCTTCCCTGACTATTTGATTGGTTAGATCGATGCAAGAGGACGTCATCGATATTACGTTAAATCATGCATTTTTTATACACGGGGTTGTTTGGAAGTACTGAGCTGGCCACTTGTTGTAAATTGTTACAGGGTGTTGATTATTATATAGCCTACAGTAACAGGTGCTTGTTTGTATATTTCCAACGAGTGAGTGAGTATGGTTTTACGCCGCTTATAGCAATATTCCAGCAACATGACGGCGGGGGACACCAGAAATGGGCTTCACACATTGTACCCATGTGGGGAATCGAACCCGGGTTTTCGGCATGACGAACAAACGCTTTAACCACTAGGCTACTCCACCGCCCCTTACTAAAATGAAGTATGGGTCGTTCCCTCTGTGTATGACTGCCTTTTCTGTGAACACCTGGTGTCAACACATATTTACAGTGATCCATTCAATAATATTTAAAGAAGCGGGTTGGAATTGATCTTCGGCAACCCATGCTTGTCGTAAGAGGCGACTATATTTTCCCTTGCTCGTGATGTTGATCACTGGATTGAATGGTCCAGACACGATAATTTATTGACCCATCCATATAGCTGGAATATTGCTGGAGAGCAGGTTCCAAACAAACGAACGAAACGAATAATTTTCGCTAATATTTTGCCTTTTACGAATTTGAAGATGTTCCGTGAAGTGTTCGTGTCCGATGTTTTGGTATTAACACCGACATTAAACACATATTAGTCTAACTTTGAAGTACGTACATTCACTGACACAAAGGCTCAACAACTACACAGTTGCCCAGATGCTGACAATCTCCAATAAGGAAACGCAGACTCGGAAAGCAGATCACAATCCGATATTTATTTGCAATATGTATAGCGTTGCTTACGTCGCGTTTGTCCTAACGTGACGAATTTATTATTAATAGCTGATTTTATATATTGCTTTCGCAGTCTTTTATATGATTCGTTAGTTTGAAATTATAAATCTATTTATCTATATGGATACGACTGCGTTGTTATTGTTAATATGATAATACACCAATGGAAGGGTCAAGATAGGACACGGTGGACGCGAAACCCGAGCGCAATCGATTGACGTCTAAGCCGCTTGCAAGAGCACCTCTCTGGCATCCAGTATTTCTGGGAGTGACACCCAGTACCACTGTACATAGTATTCCTCTGGAAGCTGCGACCAGTACTTTTGTACACATGTATTCCCCTGGGAGTGACATCCAGTACCACTGTACATAATAATAATCCTCTGGAAGCTGCGACCAGTGCTTTTGTACACATGTATTCCTTTGGGAGTGACACCCAGTACCACTGTACATAGTATTCCTCTGGAAGCTGCGACCAGTGCTTTTGTACACATGTATTCCTCTGGGAGTGACATCCAGTACCACTGTACATAGTATTCCTCTGGAAGCTGCGACCAGTGCTTTTGTACACATGTATTCCTCTGGGAGTGACATCCAGTACCACTGTACATAGTATTCCTCTGGAAGCTGCGACCAGTGCTTTTGTACACATGTATTCCTTTGGGAGTGACACCCAGTACCACTGTACATAGTATTCCTCTGGAAGCTGCGACCAGTGCTTTTGTACACATGTATTCCTCTGGGAGTGACATCAGTACCACTGTACATAGTATTCCTCTGGAAGCTGCGACCAGTGCTTTTGTACACATGTATTCCTCTGGGAGTGACATCCAGTACCACTGTACATTGTATTCCTCTGGAAGCTGCGACCAGTGCTTTTGTGCACATGTATTCCTCTGGGAGTGACATCTAGTACCACTGTACACATGTATTCCTCTGGGAGTGACATCCAGTACCACTGTACATAGTATTCCTCTGGAAGCTGCGACAAGTACTTTTGTACACATGTATTCCTTTGGGAGTGACACCCAGTACCACTGTACATAGTATTCCTCTGGAAGCTGCGACCAGTACTTTTGTACACATGTATTCCTCTGGGAGTGACATCCAGTACCACTGTACATTGTATTCCTCTGGAAGCTGCGACCAGTGCTTTTGTGCACATGTATTCCTCTGGGAGTGACATCTAGTACCACTGTACACATGTATTCCTCTGGGAGTGACATCCAGTACCACTGTACATAGTATTCCTCTGGAAGCTGCGACAAGTACTTTTGTACACATGTATTCCTCTGGGAGTGACATCCAGTACCACTGTACATAGTATTCCTCTGGAAGCTGCGACAAGTACTTTTGTACACATGTATTCCTTTGGGAGTGACACCCAGTACCACTGTACATAGTATTCCTCTGGAAGCTGCGACCAGTACTTTTGTACACATGTATTCCTCTGGGAGTGACATCCAGTACCACTGTACATTGTATTCCTCTGGAAGCTGCGACCAGTGCTTTTGTGCACATGTATTCCTCTGGGAGTGACATCTAGTACCACTGTACACATGTATTCCCCCGGGAGTGACATCCAGTACCACTGTACATAGTATTCCTCTGGAAGCTGCGACCAGTACGTTTGTACACATGTATTCCTCTTGGAGTGACACCCAGTACCACTGTACATAGTATTCCTCTGGAGTACCACTGTACATAGTATTCCTCTGGAAGCTGCGACCAGTACTTTTGTACACATGTATTCCTCTGGGAGTGACACCCAGTACCACTGTACATAGTATTCCTCTGGGGAGTGACACCCAGTACCACTGTACATAATGTTGTACAAATGATACAGTTGCTACTACTACTCCTGGCTCCGTTCTGGAACCCGTTCCACAAAGCTATCTTTATAGCGCTACGGTGGTCGTAAGTCTATGGTGAAGTGTTCGGTCCGCTTCCACAAAGCTATCTTAGGGCTACGGTGGTCGTAAGTCTATGTTGAAGTGTTCGGTCCGCTTCCACAAAGCTATCTTAGCGCTACGGTGGTCGTAAGTCTACGTTGAAGTGTTCGGTCCGCTTCCACAAAGCTATCTTAGCGCTACTGTGGTCGTAAGTCTATGTTGAAGTGTTCGGCCCGTTCCACAAAGCTATCTTAATAGCGCTACGGTGGTCGTAAGTCTATGTTGAAGTGTTCGGTCCGCTTCCACAAAGCTATCTTAGGGCTACGGTGGTCGTAAGTCTATGTTGAAGTGTTCAGTCCGCTTCCACAAAGCTATCTTAGCGCTACGGTGGTCGTTAGTCTTTGTTTTAGCTCTACGGTGGTCGTAAGTCTATATTGACGTGTTCAAGTGACGCCACTCTATTGTCTCACCAGGTTTTCCTTTTACCGAGTAAACCTCTACAGGCAGTTTGTTTGGGCATTCTCCATGAATTCCCATGGAATTTTTCATGGGCATTCTCCATGAATTCCCATGGAATTTCTATCGTAAGAATTGAAAACTTCCCATCCAGGGATTTTTCATCTGAGGAATAGCATTACCGTATATTATAGGTAAAATTGACTTTGAATTATTACTTGTTCTGAAGGTCACTGACACACTTTTGAGAGCGTGATGACGACATTCGACCTTGACCTTTTGCCCATACTACCAGCCGCCATTTATTTTCAATGCTCAACAAGAGTTCCAGTCGATGTTTTCACTGCTGCATGTTGTAATTTATGGTACATTTGTTAAGGTTGGCATCGGCAAGAAAGTGCATAATGGCACAGGTACATGTGACAAATGTGAGTGAGAAATATTGTCAATATTGAACCCAAGTTCAAACGACCCGTAGGTGATTGAACATCAAGAGCTGAGCTCCTTATGACGTCACCTAACAAAGGGCATGATAATGGCCCGTCGTCAAGCAATTTGGGGGCATTATCAAGTTACAGTGGCCCGCTCATTTCTGATAACATGCGGGCGTTTTAATGATAACGCTATCCATTTTAGCTATAAATAGTGCCAATACCTGGTTTTGAACCTGCAACCCTTCACTTACTAGGTTAGCGGTTTTATCCACCAGTCTATGAAGGATCGCTGTGAAGAATGAGATTGTTTGTCAGTATGAACCATGTGTTCCTCACAAGACGGGTAGTGCGGGCAGTGCATGTGCAGGACACGGGTAGCACATGCATTGTGTGTGCAAGGCAAGGTATCAGCTGCCAGTCCCGTCCCAGTTGATTTCAACAGAAAATACCAAATATTAAAATTATATCTAAAGTATATCTTCGGTCGGTTCATAAGTTGGATCAAAACCTCCACCTCAGTTTTGTTTGAAAAAGTAAGCCCACGGCAGAGGGAAATCAGAGTCAGTTTTGATCCTTTACTAATACAGAATAGCACTACATAATTCAGGATAAAACATAAGCTACTTTAGGATTCAGTTCTGTTATTGTGTGTACATGGTGCCTGTTTGGTCCAGTTTTGTGTTTGAGACACCTGTGATAATGTGGTAGGATTTCAACTTTTGCTTGATTATGATTCTTAGTTTGTCAGCACTCATACTCATGGTCATGTGTTTTTCCAGCTGTAAGTTGTAAATGTCGGAAACCTATACATCACATCAGGTTATTCTCCCACATGGAACTGACGTGCCATCATGTAACATATTCAAAGTAGCAATGACGTCATCTCGCTCTCAATGATGATGATGATTGTTGTTGTTTCTGTGTTGTGCAGGTGTCCCATGATTGGCTTAAGCACCTGAATCATGGCAAGGTCCCCTCCCTACAAGGACTTGATGTTCTGGGTCAGGCTGAAGCTGAACAATACTTGGCTGCATCATGCATCAAATTATCAAAACCCTGGAAGAAGATAACAATCAAAGTAATCAGAAAAACACAGGAAAGGGCTGTCAGGTATGGCCTTCTATAGTATACTGTGGTATTGTTCATTCAAGTTCCCATCCGTTGCAAAGAACGGCCTTCCACCACCCACACCAGCTCTTCTCCTGCAGTCCTACACAGGGCTGCTCCCCTTCCCGACCTACTTCAGCGAGCTGTACAAGTGTCTCTGTCAACTGAAGCAGAAGGACACTGAAGCCAACCACATCCAGTTCAGTAACAAGCTGCAATCGGAGAAGGCCAGCTTGTTGAAGCACAAGGAGCGAGAGAAGGTGCCAGTGTTGGAGCAGTTCCTCCTCAAGTACCAGGGTAAGCTGGGTAAGGAAGGGCTGGAGCTCCTGCTGCCATACATAGAAGAACTGTTCCAACAGGAAACCACCACAGTCCAAGCAGCGTGGTCCTTCTTCGGGGTAATAAGTAAGGAACTCGGACCACTGGAAACAGCCAAGAGGTTTCTGCCATATCTTACCAGTTTGTATACGGGAGAGAACTCTACAGCCAAACATGTGAAGCTGTATCATCGAAACTTCTTAATGCAGCTGATGGTGAGGTTAGGTTTGAAGACCTTTCTGTCCAATTTCTCTACCTTGTTGGTGGAGGCTGTTGCAGGGTACAAAGACTTTCCTCTACCAAGTAAATATTATCAGGAGGAGCTGATTGAAGAGATGCAGAGGGAAGCTGAGCTGTCAGAAAGAACAGCGGTGTGGTCTGAAGGGACCAATCAGAAGTCAGATAATGTGACAACAACCAATGGGCTTTCAGGAGAGGTTTACCCAGATGATGAGAGCAGTCAATCATGGGATGTTGGAAGGGATGAAAATACTCAGGGAGATGTTGATGACATTGAAGAGGAATTCCCAGATAATATTTTGTTGAATGAAGATGACTGTGGCACAGAGGAGTCAAAGAAAAAGTTGTCCACAGACTCCACCAGCATAGGCCAGGTGTCAAACCTGAGTGATGAGAGTGGTGATGGGGAGAGCAATGGGTTGGGGACAGACACCTGTTATAGGACATCGGTGAACAGTATATATAATATTATTGATAGAGCAAGGGAGGGGAGGGAAAAGACTTCTTCAACCACTGAAAGTGATGCATGGTCAGTGGGAGAGAATGTGGAAGACAATGCTCCAGTATTCGAAAGCTTCAGTCCAATTCTGGACACCGATGATGTGCCAAATGGTTCCAAGTTTGATTCAGGGAATGGTGAGGATTCTATAGACTCTGCCTATGACAGGAGGCAAGATGATGATGCGAGCGATCAGACTGATCTCACAATAGATGTCTCTGATCAGATGGTGAGGAGTGAGACTGAAGATATTTTGGCAAACCTGTCTGTCTCGAGTCCGGCAGAGATTGTGAACATCCGTGACATATCAGCAGAGAGTGTCAAGTGGCTGTGTCACAAGCTAGGGCCTGTCCTCACAGCCAAGTTTCTGTCCCGGAACCTAGTCCGGATGTTGGCCCTCTGTTATCTGGGTCTGGAGCAGCTGGATGAGTATACAGATCCAGGTAAGTCATTGTTTCAGTCAGTTCTAGTCATCTGTTCAAGTGTGTGATGCCTGTGTTCTATTTAAACAGTCAAGACATCTGTGGATTAATGTTATTAACATAAAGCATCAATGGTTGGACAATATAAGTTGTTCACTGGTCTCGCGGAGGACATGGGTTGATGTACTCTTGATGTACTCTCGAGGGTACATCAACCCATGGGCCCTGAGGGACCAGTGAACAATGTATTTATCTTACCGAACACCTTAATGTTAATTTTGAATTGTTTGAAGCACAGGTACAAATCTTTTGTAGCTAGATTTTGCTGACAAGAAAAACAGATTTAGAGTTATCTCCCTTCCATCGATTTGCATTCGCAAAACATCGGTAATTTTCCTACATCATACGTGATTCAATGTTATTCGAGATAAAGAATTACTACCACGAGGTACCAAATGAGCTGCCATTGACAGCATTGAAATGTTACTCGCTTGTAAGCGGGGTACATTGAAAATAATAGAAGAGCATTCAGCCAATCAGAAAGCGACATTTATGTGTGAGGTAAATAATGGAGTATGTCATGAAGCTGAACAGTGTTGCATTTTGAGCTTTGTTTTTTCCCACAGGTCACAAGGACTTGCAGTCATCTCGTCTGGTGACAGGTGACTCCCATGCTCTCAAGGTTCTGGATTGTCTTGCATATGTAGCCCTGGTGTATGGGGAACATGTCATGCTGGTACAGTACCTCCCTACCATCGTGGACATGGTCAGTAGAACTTGGTTATTCATGAACTAAAATATGGCATGATTGTGTCAAAGCTTAAGGGCGGTGGGGTAGCCTAGTGGTTAAAGCGTTGGCTCGTCACGCCGAAGACCCGGGTTCGAATCCCCACATGGGTACAATGTGTGAAGCCCATTTCTGGTGTCCCCCGCCGTGATGTTGCTGGAATATTGCTAAAAGCGGTGTAAAACCAAACTCAGTCAGTCAGTCAAAGCTTAAGTTCAAGGCTTCTTTATAGGTCACTCATGAAATGTCTGGGGTGTATTTTATTCAACTGTTATTGTTAACATTGTAAGAAACACCACCTTCATCACTGCCAGTCTCGTTCTGTCATATAATGGTTGAAGTTGAAAGTCAATATCAATGTCACTCAGTATGAAGTTGTTATATTTTGAGATTTTGAGATTGTACTTTGATGATTATACATGATCTCTCAGCTCTTCATGGTTGAGATAGAAGGTCAAGGTCATTACACCTGATGTGATTTTAACTTTGTATTTAAGGCATCTTGTCACAGGATTTTTTAAAACTTTGCATTTGTTATTCGTTTTTTCCTAAACCAGAAATGATGTTATTTCTTTTTATATTTTATTGAAGTCTAACAGTTTGTTATTTTCGGTGGTTGTGGGCAGATGAGAATCATTTGTATGCTATTTGAAATGTCAACATCATGATTCATTGTAAAGTTTGATATGTATTTTGTGTACAAATTCATAAAACGTAACCAGAGTGTTGTGTGATACTTGCAGGTGGCTGTAGCACAGAGGCGGCTCACCCAGCGGTCAGAGTCAGGATTGTTTGGTGGGGTGGTCCTACTGAGATACATCATCCCCTACCTCTCAGACAAGTCTGTCATGGACAATCTAGATGTGAGTTACCTTGCTTGGAGACATTGATTAATTCTATCTTGGACCCTCTTTGCAGGGGTATCTTAACAGCATTATAGGCCCACTCGCAAAGCAGTCCCTACCTGCACAATAAGGAAGTTACATCATACATACAATATCATGGAGCCCTATGTTGATGGAGCCCCTATGTTGATGGAGTCCCTATGTTGATAGAGCCCCAATGTTGATGGAGCCCCTATGTTGATGGAGCCCCTATGGTGGAGTCCCTATGTTGATGGAGTCCCAATGGTGGAGTCCCTATGTTGATGGAGTCCCTATGTTGATAGAGCCCCAATGTTGATGGAGCCCCTATGTTGATGGAGCCCCTATGTTGATAGAGCCCCAATGTTGATGGAGCCCCTATGGTGATGGAGCCCCCATGGTGGAGTCCCTATGTTGATAGAGCCCCAATGTTGATGGAGCCCCTATGGTGCCCCAATGTTGATGGAGTCCCTATGTTGATAGAGCCCCAATGTTGATTGAGCCCCTATGCTGATGGAGCCCCTATGTTGATGGAGCCCCTATGATGGAGTCCCTATGTTGATGGAGCCCCAATGTTGATGGAGCCCCTATGGTGGAGTCTCTATGTTGATGGAGCCCCTATGTTGATGGAGCCCCTATGGTGGAGTCCCTATGTTGATGGAGCCCCAATGTTAATGGAGCCCCTATGATGGAGTCTCTATGTTGATGGAGCCCCTATGCTGGAGTCCCTATGTTGATGGAGCCCCTATGCTGGAGTCCCTATTTTGATGGAGCCCCTATGGTGGAGTCCCTATGTTGATAGAGCCCCAATGTTGATTGAGCCCCTATGCTGATGGAGCCCCTATGTTGATGGAGCCCCTATGATGGAGTCTCTATGTTGATGGAGCCCCTATGGTGGAGTCCCTATGTTGATGGAGCCCCAATGTTAATGGAGCCCCTATGATGGAGCAGCTATATTGATGGAGCCCCTATGGTGGAGTCCCTATGTTGATGGAGCCCCAATGTTAATGGAGCCCCTATGGTGGAGTCCCTATGTTGATGGAGCCCCAATGTTAATGGAGCCCCTATGATGGAGCAGCTATGTTGATGGAGCCCCTATGGTGGAGTCCCTATGTTGATGGAGCCCCAATGTTAATGGAAGCCCCTATGATGGAGCAGCTATGTTGATGGAGTCCCTATGTTGATGGAGCCCCAATGTTAATGGAGCCCCTATGGTGGAGTCTCTATGTTGATGGAGCCCCTATTGTGGAGTCCCTATGTTGATGGACCCCCAATGTTAATGGAGCCCCTATGATGGAGCAGCTATGTTGATGGAGCCCCTATGGTGGAGTCCCTATGTTGATGGAGCCCCTATGCTGGAGTCCCTATGTTGATGGAGCCCCAATGTTGATGGAGCCCCTATGGTGTAGCCCATATGATGGAGCAGCTATGTTGATGGAGCCCCTATGGTGGAGCCCCAATGTTGATGGAGCCCCTATTGTGGAGTCCCTATGTTGATGGAGCCCCCATGTTAATGGAGCCCCTATGATGGAGCAGCTATATTGATGGAGCCCCTATGGTGGAGTCTCTATGTTGATGGAGCCCCCATGGCAACTGTAGAGCATGAGGATGCATTGAGATGGCCTTGCTCTTTTTGAATTCTGTGTATAGTGATCATTCATGATATCTGATATTATAAAATGTAACATTGCTTTAAATTGATGTCTATAAAAATGTCCATTACTAATTTATATCACTGGAATATATTTGTTTTATAAATGTAGTGTCACGCTGTAGACACATGCTTTAGGATTATGGCTTCCTATTTGGGATATCCATGACATCGTGTTTTATCTGAACTTGTTGCCTTCTGCAGGACACTATAGTGATGGACTCCCTGCTCCCTGTGATCAAGCTGGTAACATCACCCACCATTACATTTCCTGGGGGTGTCCGCGCCAGGTCCATCCTCTGTCACAAAGTCATTGACGTCATGTACGTCATTGGGCTTCGTCTCGGCCTGGAAATGACGCGCAGGCATCTTTCATCTTCCATGCTCAAGTTGTTTGAAGCTTTCGCAGTCATCCACGGGAACTCATCCTCGCCGACCAATGGTCAGATATACAAGAGTGGCTCCCTCTCTCCCCCTGGTCAGTTTAGCATTGTTGTCATGATCACTCATTCTTTGCTGCGTGTAGATTTAAATGGAATTGATAAAACTTATCTATACATTTTTTCTACAAGGCATTGGACATTGGATTTGTATTATTTTCCGAATGGAATCCATTATATGTGAATGCTTACAATATCCGGATATGTTATAGTTGACAAGTAAATCATTTTACCTATACATCAGAATTTCCATTTTGTTTTGACGTATAATTGTATAAATTGATGAGCGTGTGTTTGGGAGTAGGCGATTAAAGTGAGTGAGTGAGTTTAGTTTTACACCGCTTTTAGCAATATTTCAGCAATATCACGACAGGGAACACCAGAAATGTGCTTCACACATTGTACCCATGTGGGGAGGGGATTAAGGACATGTATGTTGTCTTATTTTGAACCTGTAGCACATCTTTTTTCGGGAGAATGTGAACAATTCTGAGAACAATTTAGTACTTTTTTTTCAAAAGGGGAGGCTAAAGTTCAGATTTGCAACATTTCAGGAACATAGTCTTTTCCTCACAGAAATCACAACCACCTATTCCCCCTGAATATCAAATGGTTCGTTCCAAAGGAGTTCCAGTCAATGGTTTTATTGACATTGCTGGCTGATATGTGTTTGTTGCAACTGATCTGTCTGTGTTGCAGGGATATCCCTGGGTGGCAGTGAGACATCGGAGGATTCCTACCTGAACATCAAGATGGACCCCTCATCCCAGGAGTACAGGATCGGCACACCCATTAGCGCCAGTGGCTTCAGTGGCTACATGTCCAAACACAACAAGAAGGTGCCATCCAACAAGTTCCACAGTCTCACATCATTGGGGGCCATTGATGACAAAGGTTAGTAGATATTTCATAGCATAAATGTTCCTTCTAACACCAGATCCCAATGTTTGTCATACAAAATGGCTCACATGAATGAGGAGGTTACAATGTGTGACCTAGCTGATTGTGAGTCACTGCTTTGATTGTTGCTCACTGGTATTCAAACACTGGTCCACAAATGACTATTCACAGTCCACTGCATGAATGAAATATTGCTGAATGTGGCATTAAACTATGTTCTTCACTCAGAACTTCTTTTTGTTGAAATTTTACAACTTTCCTGAAATATGCTCAAAATTCTGTACTAAAATTGACCTGATATATATGAGCTCATCCAGCCTGTGTAAAGTGGCTGTGTTTGTTGGTAGTTTAGACTGTTGACTACATATACTGGTTAGCTACAGTGCTGGGGTAATTTCTTTTTGTATTTGGGACCCCTGTGAAGATATTAGGATAGTTACAGTTAATCAGAAATTACGTTTAGACATTTCCAAATACTCTTGCTTCTGTCCCTTGCTCTGGCCATGTTGGATTTTGACATACCCTATATGATGTACATATTGATGTGGTTGACTGTAGATGATGTTGTGGACTACAAGCCGTCGACCAAGGAGGGGGGGCTGCAAGAGCTGGCAGCTGTCTTCACCCCCGAATTGGCACTGGCCGCTTACATACCACTGTGCAGGATTTTTGGCAGGTAGGTGCGGTGACAGGTGCTTTATTAAAAATGGCAGGTGTTTGCAGATGTTGCTGCACTGGATGTACTCTTTAATACTGTTAATAGCCTAAGGACCACGTATTCAGATACTCCAGGTACTCTTGACATTTCTTGATTTAATTTGGTTAACAATTTTTACTCAATTTGATGTTACCTCTAAGTACCAAGTACCACAGTTCCCTTTTGGATATACGATACTATAGAGAAGGTCGTAGTGTTGTGGCCGCTATAGTATTGTGGTGTCTGTAGTATTTTGAAGTCTTTAGTGTTGTGGCCGCTGTAGTGTTGTGGCAGCTATAGCTGGCTGTAGTGTGGTGATCTGTTGTGGCTGTGTGGTATTATGATGGCTGTAGTATTGTAATGGCTGTAGTGTTGTGGTGTCTGTAGTATTGTGGTGTCTGTAGTATTATGATGACTGTAGTATTGTGATGGCTGTAGTGTTTGTGGCTGTAGTATTGTGGTGTCTGTAGTATTGTGATGGCTGTAGTATTGTGGTGTCTGTAGTATTATGATGGCTGTAGTATTGTGATGTCTATAGTGTTGTGGTGTCTGAAGTATTGTGGTGTCTGTAGTATTATGATGGCTGTAGTATTGGGATGGCTGTAGTGTTTGTGGCTGTAGTATTGTGATGGTTGTAGTATTGTGGTGTCTGTAGTATTATGATGGATGTAGTATTGTGAAGTATTTAGTGTTGTGGCCGCAGTAGTGTCTGTGGCTGTGGTTTTATGATGGCTGTAGTATTGTGGTGTCTGTAGTATTGTGATGGATGTAGTATTGTGAAGTATTTAGTGTTGTGGCCGCAGTAGTGTCTGTGGCTGTGGTATTATGATGGCTGTAGTATTGTGGTGTCTGTAGTATTGTGATGGATGTAGTATTGTGGTGTCTGTAGTATTATGATGGCTGTAGTATTGTGGTGTCTGTGGTATTATGATGGCTTTAGTATTGTGGTGTCTGTAGTATTATGGTATTGTGTGCTGTAGTATTGCTGTAGTATTGTGTCTGTATGTAGTATTATGTGGCTGTAGTTATTGTGGTGTCTGTAGTATTATGATGGCTGTAGTATTGTGGTGTCTGTAGTATTGTGATGTATGTAATATTATCATAGTATTGTGATGAATGTGTGTCTGTAGTATTATGATGGCTGTAGTATGTAGTATTGTGTGGTGTATGTAGTATTATGATGGTGGTTAGTATTGTTGTGTGAGTAATTATTGATAGTAGTATTGTGGTATTGTATGTGAGTATTATGGTGGTATTGTGGTGTATAGTATTATGGTGTCTGTGGTATTATGATGTATGATGTATTATGGTGGCTGTAGTATTGTATGTGGTGTAGTATTATGGCTGTGATGGCTGTGGTATTGTGGTGGCTGTAGTATTATCATGTGATGGCTGTAGTATTGTGGTGTATGTAGTATTATGATGGCTGTAGTATTGTGGTGTCTGTGTAGTATTATGATTTGTGGCTGTAGTATTGTGGTGTCTGTAGTGATTGTGGTGTATGTAGTATTGTATGATGTATTATGATGTCTGTGTAGTATTGTGGTGTCTGTGGTATGATGATGGCTGTAGTATTGGCTTGTGTCATTGTGTGTATTATGATGGATTATATGGTGTCTGTGGTATTATGTATTGTGTCTGTAGTATTATTTACATGTCTGTAGTATTGTGTGGTATTGGTGGCTGTAGTATTGCTGCTGTGGTATTGTGGTGTATGTAGTATTATATGTGGCTGTGGTATTGTGGTGTCTGTAGTATTATGATGGCTGTATTGGTATCTGTGGTGTCTGTAGTATTATGGTGGCTGTGGTATTGTGGTGTGGTGTGTAGTATTATTATGGTGGCTGTGGTATTGTGGTGTATGGTATTGTAGCATTATGGCTGGCTGTGGTATTGTGGTGTATGTAGTATTATGATGGCTGTAGTATTGTGGTGTATGTAGTATTATGGTGGCTGTGGTATTGTGGTGTCTGTAGTATTATGATGGCTGTAGTATTGTGGTGTATGTAGTATTATGATGGCTGTAGTATTGTGGTGTCTGTAGTATTATGGTGGCTGTAGTATTGTGGTGTCTGTAGTATTATGATGGCTGTAGTATTGTGGTGTGTGTAGTATTATGGTGGCTGTAGTATTGTGGTGTCTGTAGTATTATGGTGGCTGTAGTATTATGATGGCTGTAGTATTGTGGTGTCTGTAGTATTGTGATGGATGTAGTATTGTGGTGTCCGTGGTATTTGTTAAGTCTTTAGTGTTGTGACCGCTGTAGTGTTTGTGGCTGTGGTATTATGACGTCTGTAGTATTGTGGTGTCTGTAGTATTATGATGGCTGTGGTATTGTGGTGTCTGTAGTATTATGATGGCTGTAGTATTATGATGGCTGTAGTATTGTGGTGTCTGTAGTATTGTGATGGATGTAGTATTGTGGTGTCCGTGGTATTGCTAAGTCTTTAGTGTTTGTGGCTGTGGTATTATGATGGCTGTGGTATTGTGGTGTCTGTAGTATTGTGCTCTGTTGCAGTATTCACATGGAGGAACACTTGCCCAACGATGACCTTATCCGACAGTTATGCTCCCAGCAGGACACAGTGATGGATCAGATGACGGAGATGCAGGAGAACACGGCCGACACCAAGTCAGGTCAGTCTTGACACAACACACATCACAAATGTAATATTCACCTCAGACACACACTCATGCACAGCTAAACTAGATACAGGACACTACTAACACATTAGTGTGTCAGTATCCACACAGCACTACCTATATCACAACATGCCATTTATAACCCATGAAGATCCGGGTTGGAATTGGTCTTCAGCAACCATGATTGTCGTCACAAGCAAGTTACGGGACTGGGTGGTTTAGACTCGCTGACTTGGTTGACACATATCATCATATCCCAATTGTGTAGATCGATGCTAATGATGTTGATCACTGGATTGTCTGGTTCAGACTCGATTATCTACAGACTGCCACTGTATAGCTGGAATATTGCTGAGTGTGTCGTTAAACAGAAAAAACAACAACATTCCATTTATGAAACACAACCCACTATCTATACTACAGCTATACCCAGTATCACTACACTGACCACAGTTTATGAAACACAACCCACTATCTATACTACAGCTATACCCAGTATCACAACACTGACCACAGTTTATGAAACACAACCCACTATCTATACTACAGCTATACCCAGTATATGACCACAGCTATCACTGACCACAGTTTATGAAACACAACCCACTATCTATACTACAGCTATACCCAGTATCACAACACTGACCACAGTTTATGAAACACAACCCACTATCTATACTACAGCTATACCCAGTATCACTACACTCACCACAGTTTATGAAACACAACCCACTATCTATACTACAGCTATACCCAGTATCACTACACTGACCACAGTTTATGAAACACAACCCACTATCTATACTACAGCTATACCCAGTATCACAACACTCACCACAGTTTATGAAACACAACCCACTATCTATACTACAGCTATACCCAGTATCACTACACTGACCACAGTTTATGAAACACAACCCACTATCTATACTACAGCTATACCCAGTATCACTACACTGACCACAGTTTATGAAACACAACCCACTATCTATACTACAGCTATACAACACTGACCCAGTATCACAACACTGACCACAGTTTATGAAACACAACCCACTATCTATACTACAGCTATACCCAGTATCACTACACTGACCACAGTTTATGAAACACAACCCACTATCTATACTACAGCTATACCCAGTATCACTACACTGACCACTAACTAAACTGTGGTCATTTCACCATTCACATGTCACACAGAACATGCTTCATGGTCTTGTTCAAGCCATTGTCAGTTATTGATAACAGTACCTTGGATTGCTTAAGATGGCCATGCAAAGTTATGAAAGTGTAGTTAAATTAAATATCTCTGTTGCAACTCAAGGCGATGTTTGTATGACTTTGGTTTCAGAGTCGGAGGGTGTTGCGTGTGACGACACGTCAGTGACTGGTGCTATAGGCAGCAATGTGCAGATGATTGGTAACCGAATACAACTCAGTCATGAGGTCAGGGAGACCAGTCCAGAGCTCAACCAGTTTGGTCGTGGATATCGAGCATCCGGCATCCTCCGCATACATCCAGATGAACTGAGATGGTCAGTACTTGTTGTCCTATAATCCCTACAAATATCATGCCTTTATTACATTATTGCCATGAATCCTGTTTTTTGGGTTGATCTCACTCTATAAGATCTTGAGATTTTCAACAGATGTCCTGTCAACTGTAGATTTCAAGGGGCGGTGGGGTAGCCTAGTGGTTAAAGCGTTGGCTTGTCACGCCGAAGACCCGGGTTCGAATCCCCACATGGGTACAATGTGTGAAGCCCATTTCTGGTGTTCCCCGCCGTGATGTCACTGGAATATTGCTGAAAGTGGCGTAAAACCAAACTCAGTCAGTCAGTCAGTAGATTTCAAGTTGTGCTTATAATAGTATATCCTCTTTCCAAGGCACCTATGCATGCTGTAGACCAATTCTTCATGGATACCTATCATGTAACAACCCAACCTGTGTGTTTGTAGTGAGGAGATGGATCACAGCCGACAGAGGCACCTGAGAGGCAACTGGCTGGCCTACTGGGAACATGAACTAGGTCAGTGACCCACTGCTTCATCATCTGATGTCTTCTTACTGAACCTCTCAGTGAGATATTTCATGTAAAGATCAAAACATAGCAGCAATATGCAAATTTCACTTTGTTATGAGTTGTTTTATATGTTAAACTGAGTGTTTAACCAACATTTTCTGGCCTCTCGACTCTTAGTGCACTGACCAAGAAAACCTGTCATGATGGATTTTAATTTGCTTGCCCATGGTACATTACTTACTAGACATTCAGTGTACTATATGTCAGGATGAAGAGGCTCTTAATCCTAAAACCCCTTAACCTAAAATGCTTTGCTCTTATCCTGACTTTCGTTAATCATTTTTGTTCTCATAGGGTTGCATGAGCGAGACACAATCTTCAACTTTAAACAGATCAAGCTGCAGACATTCCAAGGTAAGGAAACCATAGTCTTTGTGTTTGTCTGTTGTCTGGAGCAGCTGGTTGGCTCAGTTGCAAACATATTGACTTGCTGGTTACATTGACATGGTTCAGATCCCCAGATGGGTTAAGTGTGTCAGAGCCTGTCATCCAGTGACATGGTTCAGATCCCCAGATGGGTATTGTCACAGTATGTTATTGTTATGATGATCTGTTACAAAGAGCCCTATCATCCATTGGGTGGTTCAGATCCCCAGATGGGTTACAAAGAGCCCTATCATGTGTCAGATCCCCAGATGTATGTTACAGTATGTTACAGTATCGCTATGATGATCTGTTACAAAGAGCCCTATCATCCATTGACATGGTTCAGATCCCCAGATGGGTTAAGTGTGTCACAGTATGTTACAGTATCACTATGATGATCTGTTACAAAGAGCCCTATCATCCATTGACATGGTTCAGATCCCCAGATGGGTTAAGTGTGTCACAGTATGTTACAGTATCGTTATGATCATCTGTTACAAAGAGCCCTATCATCCATTGACATGGTTCAGATCCCCAGATGGGATAAGTGTGTCACAGTATGTTACAGTATCGCTATGATGATCTGTTACAAAGAGCCCTATCATCCCAGTTTCTGTGCTTTTTGTTTGACTATTTGTTTGGAAATCTTAAAACAAGTCCAGGTAAAGGTCTGCTTTCTGCAACACATACAGGCCACACCAACAGCATACGGTCTCTGTTCGTGATGGACAATGAGAACTGCTTCATCAGCGCCAGCAAGGACAAGACTGTGAAACTGTGGTCACTCACTAGCTCCGGAGATGGATCAGGGAAGTGAGTCATCATATCATGTTGTAGTTGCATGTTTTACAAGTCATCTGACCTGAATTTGTGATTGGTAGTTGCTGTTTGTTGTAAAGTTAAAGAATGGGAGCAAACCATTTAACCTCTTTACTTCACCAGTTTTCACCTAAATTACAATGTTTTGGAAAACTTTTCTGAAATGATGTGGGGCGGTGGGGTAGCCTAGTGGTTAAAGTGTTCGCTTGTCACTTGTCAAAGACGCAGGTGTGGAGCCCATTTCTGGTGTCCCCTGCCATGATATTGCTTGAATATTGCTAAAATCAGCATAAAACTGAACTCACTCTGAAATGATCTTGAAGTGAGTATAAACAAAAAAAGCTTTTTCTCATGTGAGGCAATATCGGAACATGAGGACATCCTTTGTCTGCTTGCCTGGGTCAGAGAGTGTATGTGCCTGTGTGCTGTCATGAATATGAATTGTGTCCCCTTGGCTGCAGGATGTGCTTCCAAATTCTCACCTACTGTGATATGTTTGTTAGCAACCTACTATGTTGGCATCTCTGTCCTGACCAGTGTTTTCTTACACATTAAGTTCATTCCCTATGTAATTATTACTATTACATGTAGTGATAAAATCACCCATAGTTAACCACTTTTGCATTCTCTTCCCACAAAGGGTACTTGTCATATCTTCCTACGAACCTCTGTTCTAATACGGCCCTTTCATGGTGCGAGTGTTCAGGCCTCGTGATTGGTTTCAATCAGATTTAGTTGTGCAATCAGCGACGTTGTATACTTCGGGAAAACTAGAACCTTTTCGACTGCACAATGCGCAATTGTTTCTTCTAGACAGAACTCAGTCATGTAATGGCGGATCAATGGCGTCTCCATCGCCCTCGTTGACAACGGACAAGCTAGCCAATAAATGTCTTGTGCGTCACATCAACGCAAGTCCCCGGCAGAGGAGAGATAGTTCTAGCCCCATATTTGCTTGCATTAGTCAAGTTGGATCTAAGTCGATGTAACATGTGTTCTGATTGGATAGAAAGAAGGGAGATAATTCGTGTTGCGATTTTTTGCCACTAGGAAATTTTACGAGAACCGGGAAATATGGCCATATTAGAACAGAGGTTCGTAGGAAGATATGACAAGTAACCTCTGTGGGAAGAGAATGCCACTTTTGTTGATGTCATATAGAATCTTTGAACGGCATTTAGAAGTGATACACATAAAGGTGAGGATCTATAGATGTCAACATCTTTATTAAGGGGAACACTACGTTTTGGAGTATATTGTTACTCCTTTCATTCACTTGATGAGTGAGTAAGAATGTACTCCAAAACGTCATGTTCCTCAAAATACAGAAGTTGACACCCATACCTTCTCAAATCTTTGAGAAACCTTCTCGCCTCTAACTCACTCCTGTCTGTTTCAGAATGTCCTCTCAGTGGAGCTACAATCAACATAAGAAGTCTGTGTTTTCTGTGGCCTACTTGGACAGTGTCAGACAAGTAGCCTCCTGTGATAGTTCTGTACATGTGAGTTCACTGGATTTTCAATGTGTTAAACAAAGTGTACCATGTTCCGCAAACTGAATCTCAACTCTATCTGTGTGACAGTATTGTGGTTCTTACTCAGAATTGATTGTTTGATTGGCATTCTATCTTCTATGCTTATCTTCTATCACTTTTAGCTGGATAATGGTGTAAAAATCTAACAAAAAACATCGCTCTATGCAGTGAACAAGAAGTTGTTGTCCATAAAGTCATAATACTTCATAAGTAGAATTGGGTACTGTGAAATGCCTAAGTTTACGGACTGGTCATGTATTACATGGTAGAAGCAATGAGATTGATCTGATTTATTCTGTCTTATTGACCATGCTCCTCCTCACCTGATAGATACAGTTGTTGTATGATGAATGCTAAATCCTGCATGTTTCAGATATGGGATCCCTTCATTGGTGGGAACATAGTTCAGCTAGAGTCCTCCAAATACGCCCCAGTTGTGGCCCTCACGGCCCTTCCAGCTCCCAGCACCCTTGTCGTCACGGCAACCACAGAGGCCACACTCAGGTACGATACTTGCTCATAAGAAGAAAATTAACCTACTCGCTGGTTTATTGTTTTTATAAAATATAAAAGACTCTCTTTTCTGGTTCCCTTTAGTACTTGAATGATTGTTTATATCTTCAACAGGTTCCTTGATCTCAGAGTATCCAAATATGCACATGAGTTTAAGTGCTCAGTCGGATCAACTGGTAAGTATGTGGCTTGAATTTACAGGACATGCTTCAGGTTGTATTAAACAGTATTCCTTGAGAATAAGCAGTAATAGACAGTTTAGTTTGATAGTTTTGTGTTATTTTCTTAAGTAGAAACTTCTGCTTTTATCTTGTTAATGATAAAAAACATGACAATATTGGTGTCAAAAAGGATGTAACATAAGTTTTAATAAATTTATGATTTAAACAAAAAACAAAAAAAATGCTTGCATGAATGTGGAGAAATAAGTCTTTGATACACTTGTCTTCATTGTTTGATGTTCCAGGCCTGATCCAGCTGTTTGACTGTCAGTAAGGATGGCAGTTGGGTAGCTGTTGGCTTCTCTACCGGAGTTATCTCCCTTCTGGATGTCAGTAGTGGCATCCTCATGGGGTCCTGGAAGGCTCATGATGGGGAAATATTACAGGTGGGTGTTCTGTGTGTTGGCTTCTCCTTGGGAGTTATCTCCCTTCTGGATGTCAGTAGTGGCATCCTCATGGGGTCCTGGAAGGATCATGATGGGGAAATATTACAGGTTGGTGTTCAGTGTGTTGGCTTCACTACAGGAGTTATCTCCCTTCTGGGTGTCAGTAGTGGCATCCTCATGGGGTCCTGGAAGGCTCATGATGGGGAAATATTACAGGTTGGTGTTCAGTGTGTTGGCTTCACTACAGGAGTTATCTCCCTTCTGGATGTCAGTAGTGGCATCGTCATGGGGTCCTGGAAGGCTCATGATGGGGAAATATTACAGGTGTGTTTAGTGTGTTGGCTTCTCCTTGGGAGTTATCTCCCTTCTGGGTGTCAGTAGTAGCATCCTCATGGGGTCCTGGAAGGCTCATGATGGGGAAATATTACAGGTGGGTGTTCAGTGTGTTGGCTTCACTACAGGAGTTATCTCCCTTCTGGATGTCAGTAGTGGCATCCTCATGGGGTCCTGGAAGGCTCATGATGGGGAAATATTACAGGTTGGTGTTCAGTGTGTTGGCTTCTCCTTGGGAGTTATCTCCCTTCTGGATGTCAGTAGTGGCATCGTCATGGGGTCCTGGAAGGCTCATGATGGGGAAATATTACAGGTGGGTGTTCAGTGTGTTGGCTTCTCCTTGGGAGTTATCTCCCTTCTGGGTGTCAGTAGTAGCATCCTCATGGGGTCCTGGAAGGCTCATGATGGGGAAATATTACAGGTGGGTGTTCAGTGTGTTGGCTTCTCCTTGGGAGTTATCTCCCTTCTGGGTGTCAGTAGTGGCATCCTCATGGGGTCCTGGAAGGCTCATGATGGGGAAATATTACAGGTGGGTGTTCAGTGTGTTGGCTTCTCCTTGGGAGTTATCTCCCTTCTGGGTATCAGTAGTGGCATCCTCATGGGGTCCTGGAAGGCTCATGATGGGGAAATATTACAGGTGGGTGTTCAGTGTGTTGGCTTCTCCTAGGGAGTTATCTCCCTTCTGGGTGTCAGTAGTAGCATCCTCATGGGGTCCTGGAAGGCTCATGATGGGGAAATATTACAGGTTGGTGTTCAGTGTGTTGGCTTCTCCTTGGGAGTTATCTCCCTTCTGGGTGTCAGTAGTGGCATCGTCATGGGGTCCTGGAAGGCTCATGATGGGGAAATATTACAGGTGGGTGTTCAGTGTGTTGGCTTCACTACAGGAGTTATCTCCCTTCTGGGTGTCAGTAGTAGCATCCTCATGGGGTCCTGGAAGGCTCATGATGGGGAAATATTACAGGTGGGTGTTCAGTGTGTTGGCTTCTCCTTGGGAGTTATCTCCCTTCTGGGTGTCAGTAGTAGCATCCTCATGGGGTCCTGGAAGGCTCATGATGGGGAAATATTACAGGTGGGTGTTCAGTGTGTTGGCTTCTCCTTGGGAGTTATCTCCCTTATGGGTGTCAGTAGTGGCATCGTCATGGGGTCCTGGAAGGCTCATGATGGGGAAATATTACAGGTGGGTGTTCAGTGTGTTGGCTTGGCTTCTCCTTGGGAGTTATCTCCTTCTGGGTGTCAGTAGTAGCATCCTCATGGGGTCCTGGAAGGCTCATGATGGGGAAATATTACAGGTGGGTGTTCAGTGTGTTGGCTTCTCCTTGGGAGTTATCTCCCTTCTGGGTGTCAGTAGTGGCATCCTCATGGGGTCCTGGAAGGCTCATGATGGGGAAATATTACAGGTGGGTGTTCAGTGTGTTGGCTTCTCCTTGGGAGTTATCTCCCTTCTGGGTGTCAGTAGTAGCATCCTCATGGGGTCCTGGAAGGCTCATGATGGGGAAATATTACAGGTGGGTGTTCAGTGTGTTGGCTTCTCCTTGGGAGTTATCTCCCTTCTGGGTGTCAGTAGTGGCATCCTCATGGGGTCCTGGAAGGCTCATGATGGGGAAATATTACAGGTTGGTGTTCAGTGTGTTGGCTTCTCCTTGGGAGTTATCTCCCTTCTGGGTGTCAGTAGTAGCATCCTCATGGGGTCCTGGAAGGCTCATGATGGGGAAATATTACAGGTTGGTGTTCAGTGTGTTGGCTTCACTACAGGAGTTATCTCCCTTCTGAGTGTCAGTAGTGGCATCCTCATGGGGTCCTGGAAGGCTCATGATGGGGAAATATTACAGGTGTGTTTAGTGTGTTGGCTTCTCTACAGGAGTTATCTCCCTTCTGAGTGTCAGTAGTGGCATCCTCATGGGGTCCTGGAAGGCTCATGATGGGGATATATTACAGGTTGGCTTCTCTACAGGAGTTATCTCCCTTCTAGATGTCAGCATCAGCATCCTTCTACGTAACATTCAGATGAGAAGCTTATCTCCATATGTTATGTAGGTAAGGCCCCCTCCTCAAGGGTGACAAGTTGGCTACTGGTCTTACAGTTGAAACTGCCCACATACAGGTGGAATATTGCTCAGTATGGTGCTAACCCCCAACAAACAAATCGACAGACTTTCAGTTTGACAGACCTTTCAGACATTCGTTTCATTTCAGATCAAAGCCTACAGCAAAAACATGTTAGTGTCTTCATCGTTTGACCAGACCATGAAGGTGTGGAATATCGAAGATGGGCGAGAACTGTGTGCTCTTAAAGGTACCATCCTCGCCAATAAACACCATCTTATCAATAAAACAAGATTTTAGAAATGTGCCATTTAGCAACATCTAATATACATTTACAGAGATATATAGTATACTACATGGGTACAATGTGTAATTCCTATGGTATCTAAACTATCAGAAGTGTCAACTTATTCTTAGTCCATTCTGCTAGCTACATTTCAGTTACCAATTTCCGTGTGTATTGTTTGTATTCAGTAAATACAAATTTCTCCATATTGCAAGGTCTGTCAGAGCCGGTACACTGTGTGTGTTTCTACAAGAACCAGGTTCTCAGTGCCACCACCGCCAACAGGATAGGAGTTCATACGTCTGTGGATGACAGTGTGAGTACTCCTGACCTCTACACATCTGGCAACACACATCCAAGTCAGTTGGATGTTATTTCAGACTAAATAATACCTCTTTGCATCTGTGCCAAAAATCTTTGGAAAATTTCTTTTTGTTGATTTCGGTTGCTCCATGTTGTGTAGAAATGATTTTATCAAAATTTTATAAATTTAACTATTTGTAAATTCATCCAGCTTTTGGATGGAAAGAAATGTTTATCTTCTTAAAATGAAATTGAATCAATCTGTGCATGTGGTATTATCTACTCTTTACCACAAGACCTATTATTCTGAATATTGTATGTCACATTTTTCCTAATCAATACCCAAACTCAGCAAATAATAAAAATTTCTTTTAATATATCTTTTCAATTATAAAACATTTTATATACACTCTATTCATACAATGATCACAGAGTTGTCTCCCTTCCAATAATTGGTGTTTTTTGTTTGCAATGGAACCTTGACTTTTTTTATTGAAATTCTGCACAGGCCCTAAATATTAATATCAGTGTTCACAAATAGTGTCTGACCCTCTGCAGATTCGCCAACAATCCGATAGAAGTCTACAACCCACCAGCCCCAGTGTTTGACTGTATATTTGACAATGACCTTGACATAAGTTGTTATATGTGACATGTGACACTTGTTTGCTGTTTATATATCTTGTGTTTGTTAATAATTTCAATGTCAATTATAAGAAATGTTAAATACGAAATGTATTTAATTTTATTTTATGGGTCCTGTGAATTTTCAATGGGTCAGACAGACATCTGAAACTTGCAAATGACCATTCGTGAACACTGTAATATCCTCCCAAATGACCATCCTCAGACTAATTCTCTCCTCAGATAGTTTTACACCAGGCCCCGATTTCTTGAAACAAACTTAAGTCTGAGTTTTGTCATAAGTTAGAGTTTTTACTCAAATTTGAGAAAACGCAGGAAAATGCAGTTTTGTTCCAAGAAATCGGGGCCTTATCAGTAAACAGATTTTTAACCCGTTCAAATGATTTCCTTCTGCAGATTGTTTTTCCTCCTGATGAGATACAGAACTTGTTTTTCAGGCATCCTTCACAAGCACCAAGTTACGTTCTGACACATTCAAAGGTGTACTTACATCCATGGCAACTCTACCTCTCAACCGATCCCTGCTGCTGGGAGCAGACAACGGCTCCATACGACTCCTATGCTAACACAGACATCCACCTTCATAGTCCTATCATGACGAAGAGCAACAGACTATTTTACAGTAGATTGATACAGTCAATGTTTCAGATTTGAAAATGTAGGAGTATGACAGATATTAAATATTGTTTCAACTTCAACCTGACATAAAAATATTGGACACTTTGTCTGAAGTATCTATAACAGGGAATCTGTTATATCTGTGATCTAAAGGATGATGTTGCGTTTGTAGTATGTGGTAGATTATCAACAAACAGTTTAGCAGATTTTCATCTTTTGAAACGATTCTAGTTTTCCCTCTTACCATAGAGATAGTGAGAACAGTACTACAGTATTTCATTTATATCCTTTCATGTCGGGCAAGCAAATTTGTACACTGTGGGAGGAAAGTGTTTATTTAAAAATGCAATTGGAAAAATTTCAGATGATGATTTTCATGTGCCACTGCCACATTGCTGAAACCATCCAGCATTCTTAGAGGTTTGTTGAAACCATCCAGTACATGAAAAATTGAAATATGATCAGGACAAACCAGGGATTCAAACCCAGAATTATAGGTTTCTGCCATGATTCAGAGATTCTTACCACGAGAACTATTTTTGGATACATGGAAGTTAAATATTTATGTCCCTGTAATCAATATTACCTTGTATTATATTAAGCCTGTGTTTTACTGTGAGAGAAGGTGTTAAAGAGCACAGGATGGTGAAAATATGTCATGAGAGATTTTGCCAAATGCATGACTGACTGATTTGTTGGTGATTGTATGAGTGCTTCCAGCTATTACTGATTTCACACTGACATTGAAGAGTGAGTGTGTGAGTATGGTTTTACGCCGCTTTTAGCAATATTCCAGCAATATCACGGTTGGGGACACCAGAAATGGGCTTCACACATTGTACCCATGTGGGGAATGGAACCCGGGTATTCGGCGTGACGAGCGAACGCTTTAACCACGAGGCTACCCCACCGCCCCGACATTGAAGAGATGTCAAAGTCTGACATTAAATTACTTGATTTATGGAATATTGAAATATTGGAAAGAGGGTACAAATGAATTTTGCCTACACTTTGGTGAAAAGTTAAATTATGTTATTTCAGAAAGATCAGATCAAATGCAATGATAAATTATGTTTTTTCCTTTCCATGACTATTTATCAATGCATTGGTTAAGAAGTCATATGATTGGTTGTTAATATTTGGGACTGGAGTCATCATGAAGTTTCCAGGTAGTGTCAAGGTTGAAATTTGTCTTTTTATATATGGGCTTCTACCACCAGTCTATATATAAGTCATTTAGAAAAGGCACCGACAGAATGGCAACTCAAATACAGTGAATGTTTGTCAGTCAGTCCAGACTCCTTTTGCCCCATTATATTGGCCACAGAAGATTACTGTTATAGGTTTACAATCTATCTGTCTGGGTGCCCATTATCCACTAATCTACAAACATTGTGTCTGGATGATTTCAGTGCCAACAGCATTTTGCTACAATGAAATGATAGTCAACAGGTTCAACATTGTCAGAGAACAATGAGTTTTGATTGGAGATATGAGAAGGATCACCTAACCTCACTGACCACCAGCTTCTCCAATAGTTCCTACAGTCATGTCATAAGATGACGGAAATGTGAATGTTCTGTCCTTGTGTTTTTCGTTTTGTTTTTACATCAGTTTCATTAAAATTCAACCTCTCACAAGTCTGTCATAGAACATTTTGTCTGGTGAAATTTCTAATCCAACTGTTTGTGACATTTTAATTCTTCATATGAATGAAGCATTCGAAACAGCATTTTGATTTTGAATCTGGAAAATGAATATAAACAGGCAGTTCTGAATGGAGAATGATAATGGCTGCACTAGATTTTGCAACCTCGCTTTTCTGAGTGACATGGCATGTCAGTTCTTCTCATTTTAAATGAAATTCTCAAATCAGAAACAGACTGAAAATGAATTTACCAATCAAAAACTGCAACAGGATCCTGTGAACAAAATTAAGAAAATGATATGAGCTGTTAAGGCTATGTGAAATCTTGACAGATTTGTATCAAATCAGAGTAAAAGATGTGTGTATTTTGTTCCAGCTTTGTTTATAAAACAGTTTGTGATATGTCTCACTTTACACAACAGAACAAAATATTCAAAGTTCCAGTGGATTATATCATTGATATTCCAGAAACACATGTGCAATAATGGATGGCATTTGTTGTCCATCACAATACTCTTCACCCATGGGTTTTTGCATTTGCTTCTTTAAGATAATACTAGTCAATAAGCTAACACAGAGGTAAACTTTCCTCCATGCATTTATAGTCTGTTTCAGATTAGGGACCATTCATAATTTATGGCTAGGGGGGTGATGATGATTTAATGGGGGTCACCCATTTTGTTCTGGGGAGGTAGGGGGTCAGCAATTTTGTACACATGTTTCTAGAGGGGTCAGCAATTTTGTACATAAAAATATTTAAAAATTATGCTTTAAAAATATTGGAAAGGGGAGGGGGGCCATTGATTTTGTACATACTTCTCCATAAAAATCATCATCACCCTCCCTGGCCATAAATTATGAAATCCCTTAATAAGAGTCTGGTTTGTGGTCAATAAAGTATGGGCAGCCATTTTGTATTTCTTAAGAAAAAGGCTCAGAAATATGAAAGATTCAGTTTAGAGTTCAAAGGGATAGACATATTCTTCAGTAATCTGGGTACATCTTCTACAGGGTATTGTAGCAGTGCAATCTCAGTCTCAGACTCAACAATCTTGTGTTTGTTATCAGCCAACAACCGGTGTGTGTTTTTTTTTACACTTTTTATGTATCTCATTTTCAATAGCTGTAAATTTGGTGGTGCTAGAAAACTAAAGTCTATATTCTGTTTAATTTGAAAATGTTCACTGGTATTGTTAAACCACAATGGGGACACTTTGTTGTCAGTTGTGATTATAATTACCAGTTTCAACTGCTACAAAATTATATAATTAATGTTTTACAGATATGACTTTTTGTGATAATCGTTATTTATGGATGGTTCATTTTGTGATTTAAACATATATTTATAATGGAAAAGGACTGAGCAAAAGTTATCCAACTTAAAAAAATACCTTTCCCAAACAGATGCTTACTGTTTATATTGAACATCATATTTATTAATGACATGGTATCTCCTCTGTAAACTTATATCAACTGTCAGTATTAATGAAAATAGATCTTGCCAAGTTCAATTTACAAAAATTATTTTGTTCATGCAGTGGTCCAAAGGGTTACTCTGTTCTATTACTTGTTTCATTACTTTGACAGAATCTTTACTTTCTGTTACATAAAGTGTTTGTTGTCTAAAAGATATAAAGCAGGTAAGGCCAGTCAGTAATATGGTGAATTGGTTGGAAGAATATTGACAGTGCACATGGAACCATAGTTTAGTGTTCCACCATGGCTGTTACCCGTGAAGGTCCGGGTTAGAATGAGCCTTCAGTAACCCATGCTTGTCGTAAGAGGCGACTAACGGGATCGGGTGGTCAGGCTCGCTGGCTTGGTTGACACGTGTCACGTTCCCAATTGGGCAGATCGATGATCATGCTGTTGACCACTGGATTGTCTGGTCCAGACTCGATTATTTACAGACCACTGCCATATAGCTGGAATATTGCTGAGTGCGGCGTAAAACTAAACTCACTCACTCACTCCGGCATGGCTGAACGTCTTTATCAGACCATTGATTGTCAAGGTCTTGGGTCTTGAGGTCATTTCTTGGTCTTTTTTCTATGTTGACTTCAGAGTTTTTGTCAGATGTCAGAGTGAGTGCTACTGTGAGCTGTATTTTGGTCACATCACACATCAACTTCATGAGGAATGTTGCATGTCTTACAATTTTGCTGCTTTTGTGACACAAAAGTAAATAAGGGGCTATGGTTTTCAAGACACTTTCAGCAATCTTCCCATAATATCACAGAGGGACACCAGAAATGGGCTTCATACATTGCACCCATGTGGGGAATCGAACCGGGGTGAACTGGTGAAACAAAAGAACAACTGTGGTATTACAGTCCAAAAAAAATCACAGTATTTCCTGACACAACTAAGGGACATAACTCTGAAAAACAAACTGCAGAAACTTCAAACACCTATGCTGTATGAAAAAGATATTGATCAGAGAATGAAGTCTTGAAAAGAACCACACGTAACGGATGAAGATTTATGTGCAATAAATATTGTTTACAAATACTTATACAATACTTGAGATCAACTCTAGATTGAAGCCTTCCAATGTTATTTATCAGATTAACCCAATATGCAAGCATGTGTGAACACTGGTGTACATTATATGTCCTGTAGCTATTTATATGTATATTATATGTTTACCCGAGCTATGTATTGTGTGTATATATAAATGTTAGAGCAAGTATCAACAGTTTGTACAAGCTTGTCTGTGAACATTTTGTTATTCAATTGTTGTAACATGGCTTTTACCTATTGATTTAGCCAATCCATTTAAGAAGAGTCTTCACTCATGTAGTCCTGCCAATCCTAAACATTACACCAACAAAGTGTTACATTACAGTTGGTTGGGTGTCACTGTCATGACAATTATTGGTTAGGTTTTGAAAAATCCAAGATATTTAGTCGCCTGATTTCATGAATACTTGGAGACACGTGTCATATCATGTCAATAGTAGGTGAACAGGATTTAAAGACTTTTTTGATTGGTATTCTAGAAGTTGGGTAGATGAAGAATGAGGACTATTTTTATGGACATACAACTTCTTTATTCTATATAGGCAACCTATAACGTCGCCTATATAGAATAAAGAAGTTGTAGATCCATAAAAATAGTCCTCATTCCTCATGATTCAGGATTTAAAGAGTAGAAAAGACTTCGGTCTCTTGGTGTTCATGATGTTCATCTTATAAGATCTGTACACAGAACACAAACACATTTATCACAACTCACTATTGTTTGAGGAATGTTTTTCGGTGACGACCTTTCTTGTGACCACCAGCCAGACTCAGTATTCTAACTCAGTTTGGATCAATGTAAAGTTTCATTCAGTATGACCAAATCTCAAAAAGTATTGTGGTTACCATCTCATCTGAATTTGCTTAATTTTCATGGAACCTCAGCTCTTCCTCTTCTTAGGTCGTGTGTAGCTGCTGCATGTGTCCCAGGACCAGGAGCTGACTGTGATAATATTGTACCATCAGTCTGTCAGTTTCAGTGACTTTTATATTGGAGGATTTGCTATCCTGTTACTAGCTGAAAATACATTTTGTGGAAATCTTTGAAGCTACATTTGCTCGACATCAGTGGGCTTGCTTCACTATGAAATGAAACCAAACATTATAATAACCATCAACTCTTAACTTTGAGTGTGTGTATGATATTGATAATGAGATAGAAGTTATTTTGTTCCTTTCTGTTTTAAAAAGGAAAGGAATTAAAGTCATCAGTTAGTCAATTTCGGTAGCATTCTAGTCTGCAATGTGCTACAAACTTCCTTTGACAAGGTAACATTGGAGATGGTGGTGCCATGATCTCAATATGTAACTCAATATTGAATCCTGAAAGTGTGCAAACTAAAGGATTGCTAAGAAATAGGGTAAACTGATTGTCAGATAGGACCAATGTAAACCACTGCAGCATTTCTCAATTCTGTAGCCTTGGTTCATCATTGAGACACAACATGAGTTTAATCCACACAAATGGATTTGATGAGAAAACAAATTGCCCATCAAGACTTCGACGACTCTTTAAAATCTGACTACGTCTCACCCTCATTTGTTCATTAGAACAGGTTCTATACTATAGAAAATGTTGATACTGGTTTCTCCCCAGCCTAATTTAGACAGAAATAGTTTGACTGTTACACTAGGACACAGCTCCTCATCCAGGGGATGTTTTGCCAACCTGGTGTTGGCCCCAACAGGAAACAAGATTAGTATATCCAGCAGTGTAGGAACTGTTATGAATACACATCTGAAGGATACTGAGGGTCTACTGTAAGCAGTTAGCTGATGATGTTGAAGTCAAGGTCAGACAGATATAAAGCCTGTTACAAACTCTACTGTTGTTTTCATTTATCCTGACTGGAGAAATCTGTTACATTTCTTACTTCCTTCTGTGGGGTTGTTGAGTGGTTAGCATGCTCAAATCCAAGGCTGATTTCCACCATGTCCAAACCAATCACACTATTTGTGTACCAGGGCAGCCTTGTCTCCGTGGTGTAGTGGTTAGAGCGTCCGCCCGTAGAGCGGAAGGTCGCGGGTTCGATCCCCAACCGTGTCATACCAAAAGACGTTAAAATATGGTACTTGTTGGTCCCTGCCTGGCGCTCCGCATTAATGGGTACAACAAGGACTGGTCAGCTCGGAGTCAGTATACTGTGTCTGAGTGGGGTATTCATGCTTCACTGCGGCATGGTATCTCAGTGGGCTAGCACTATAAAAACCAGCTTCAGTCTGGGCTAGTACAAGCAGCCGCACATACACGTACACACGCATTCACGTCGAAATATGAGCGAAATATTCTCAAGCACGACGTTAAACCCAATTTAACCCAAGCAAATGTTGCTGGAGATGTGGGTGCCATTGTACAAAGAGATTTTAAAATCACTTTAGCAACAAACAAAACAGTGTGGACCAAGATGTTACTCTGCCCTCATCTCTAGTATGTGTCAACTGTGTGGTCATAAAGACGGTGGCCATATTGAAATAAGATTGAAAAGTCAACACATTCAGCTATCACAGTTCACGATAGTAACTGCTTTATTATAAATTGATTGCATCAACAGAATGATTAGGTCAGTACCAATATGAAGCAGGCAGCTACCAACGTTCTTAAAATCCATATTTACACCTGGAATGAATATCTACTATGCTTTCAAAAATGTCTGATCAGGACATCCCATTCTGTCCTACAAAATGTATTTATAATTCACAACTTTCTTTGTTTGCTGTATAATACCATTCTTGACATCAATACAGTTATGTAATGGTGGGAAAACAGTGAGGGATGTGAGCAATATGACCAGCAATGAACCAGGTCATATGTTTCGTATGTCGCGTATCTCAGAGATGAATTCCATAGAGACACTTCACATCTTAGAGGTTTAATTCACACTCCAAGAGCTACACTTCCTATTTCAAGAGCTTGACTTAACATTCCAGAGCTTGGCTTAACATTACGTCGCGAGCTTGTTAAAATGAGATCAGATGAGATTCAGTTACTACCCAACATCATATAGCACAACAATAAATAGAATTATTAACTACAGCATCAATCATCTTTTTTCATGTTAAAATTTCATTCATACATCTGCATCAACAAACAATACTGAACAACAGCATAGCCTAAATTCCTGAAAATATGACAATGCCTACCAAGCATAGCACCATTTCAAGGGACTAAAATATTACACAGTATTTCAGTTACACCACGGTGTGTCAGCTTGATGTGGGATGCCAACCTGAGTGATGCAGTGCCTGGATGCTGACCACTCGGGGAATGATGAACCATACAACTTCATGGATGTCAACTTCTTGTTTTATTGTATAGAGCGACATTTTGGTGTGATAATGGTGTAACAATCTACACCAACATCGTTCTATGCTATAAACAAGAAATTGTCATCCATAAAGTTGTATGCTTCAACACTGTTTCACCAACGAATACCGATCAATCACTTCGGGTAAACCCACAAGCTAGGGTATGGTACAGACAAACCTGAATGATGTGGGATTCAAACCTACAATCACAGGTTTCTATGAGCAGTCAGTGAGGTACCAATGTATTATTGACGTAATATGTTGGATAACCAATGGAAGTTGTAATAAGAGTATTTCAACATTTTGTTCACAAACAACAGAAAAAGACACATTACATTTAACGGGAAATACAGTAGTCAATTTTGGTAACCCAAGCATAGATGTTATTAACAGTTCAGTCATTCATGAAACATTTGACTGTATAGCTTGTGAGTGAGATGTTTACCACTTTTGAAAAAGAAAAGATGAAACACAATTTCTGATGATGCTCGGCTTTCACAGCACACAAAGTTTCTCATGTGACTGAGGGGCGGTGGTTAGCCTAGTGGTTAAAGCGTTGGCTCGTCACGCCGAAGACCCGGGTTCGAATCCCCACATGGGTACAATATGTGAAGCCTATTTCTGGTGTTCCCCCGCCGTGATGTAGCTGGAATATTGCTAAAAGCGGCGTAAAACCAAACTCAGTCAGTCATGTGAGTGAATATGCATTGTGTACTTCAGCCACGTTGTTTTCACTCTACACGTATTCCTTCAGCATCAGGTAACGGGACAATAGATTTAAGAAACAGCTTCATTATGTTCCCTTACTAAAACAGACCAGGGCATCGCTGCATGTATCCACATAACACGAATGTAGTGTGTACAAACTCATGAAGTTTTGACAATGCTTGTTTACAAATACAGAACTCCTTTTTCAAAAGGCAGACTCGATGGTCTTGAGGAATCTCCAGCTGTAGACAAAATCCGTGACCCGCTAATTTGGGACTGAATTTAAATCAGTCGCTGTTGATCTAGAATTACAATGACGCATCTACAGAGGTTAAAAAGATGGCACAACTTCAAGGAAAACTACTACCCAGTTCACAAAATTCATAAGGATGTCACTTCATTCACACAAAGGGCAATAAGCCGTGATGAACAAATACTTCCCGCACATAAAACATCCATAATATTCTGTCATATTTTTCTTGCAGTCTCTGTTGTGGGCAGGTTCTCTCATGATGAACACCTCCATGAAGACAATGCTAAGAATGGGATGAGACACTGTAGTGTTGTTCTCAGGAAGACCAATTTATCGTCAGTGATCTTCTGTTGAATCCATTAAAACCTTAGTCTCGACACATTTCCATCTTTCATTTCAAGAATCACTTGGTGTTTTTGCTTTCATTGGTTAGGGACTAACTTGGAAATTCAATGTCGGATAAGAAAGTTAATTCCTTACATTTTTATACATACCCCTCTTATTCTTCAAAGACATTTCAGAAGGAAAAACAAACAAATAAAAATTGCACAGCTGCCCAGATTTTCTTCAAAGCTGCAGAGTAATACCAAAACAACAGTTTTTAAACTCTTAGATTTTAATGTTGTTATACCTATGATACTGACAATTTACTTAAACTGCAACAACCCTGAAAAGCTGCTTTCAGAAACCAGATGACGTGTTTACCCCCACACCCATACCGCTACCCACCCACTTCCAACCTCTAAACTTATGGAATTAAGATTTTTATCCGACATCAGGCATTTAAACACACAGCATTAACATCATTTCCTTAGAGGAGGATCAGGTTTAAACAACTGGCACAATCCAATGTCCGATTTCTCAACATCATCCACTGACGGGTTTTTGTGGCGGTGCCGGAACATCGGTGGCAGATTCTGGTAGTGGACTTCACGCTTAAACTGCTGACCAATATTTTTCTGGAAAAGGATTATACGTAGGATTAAAACATTGACTCATTTATAATATTAATAATGACCATAACACATAAATAAGTTGAAGAAATAAGTTTTCAGGTGGTGATACAGCTGGCTTGATATTCTTACAGACTAAAGTGTTTTGTGCAGAGCTATTTCATAGTAAACACATAAGACTGCATAAGGTGGAAGGTGGAATACCCCTATTTAATAAGTTTCTTTTAATCTCCTTTTCTGATGCACAAATATGACATGTTGTAAAGAGCTAGGGTGACAAACAGTGAAGTACTAGGATGACAAACAGTGAAGCACTAGGGATGACAAACAGTGAAGTACTAGGATGACAAACAGTGAAGCACTAGGGTGACAAACAGTGAAGCACTAGGATGACAAACAGTGAAGCACTAGGATGACAAACAGTGAAGCACTAGGGTGACAAACAGTGAAGTACTAGGATGACAAATAGTGAAGCACTAGGGTGACAAACAGTGAAGCACTAGGATGACAAACATGTTGTGAAGCACTAGGATGACAAACAGTGAAGCACTAGGATGACAAACAGTGAAGCACTAGGATGACAAACAGTGTGAAGCACTAGGATGACAAACAGTGAAGCACTAGGGTGACAAATAGTGAAGCACTAGGATGACAAACAGTGAAGCACTAGGATGACAAACAGTGAAGCACTAGGGTGACAAACAGTGAAGCACTAGGATGACAAACAGTGAAGCACTAGGATGACAAACAGTGAAGTACTAGGATGACAAACAGTGAAGTACTAGGATGACAAACAGTGAAGTACTAGGATGACAAACAGTGAAGCACTAGGATGACAAACAGTGAAGCACTAGGATGACAACCAGTGAAGGACTAGGATGACAAACAGTGAAGCACTAGGATGACAAACAGTGAAGTACTAGGATGACAACCAGTGAAGTACTAGGATGACAACCAGTGAAGTACTAGGATGACAACCAGTGAAGCACTAGGATGACAACCAGTGAAGCACTAGGATGACAAACAGTGAAGTACTAGGATGACAACCAGTGAAGTACTAGGATGACAACCAGTGAAGTACTAGGATGACAAACAGTGAAGCACTAGGATGACAAACAGTGAAGCACTAGGATGACAACCAGTGAAGCACTAGGATGACAAACAGTGAAGCACTAGGATGACAAACAGTGAAGTACTAGGATGACAAACCAGTGAAGCACTAGGATGACAAACAGTGAAGCGCTAGGGTGACAAACAGTGCTTACTAGGATGACAACCAGTGAAGCTAGGATGACAAACAGTGAAGTGAAGCAACTAGCTAGGGACAAACAGTGAAGCACTAGGATGACAAACAGTGAAGCACTAGGATGACAAACAGTGAAGCACTAGGATGACAACCAGTGAAGCACTAGGATGACAAACAGTGAAGCACTAGGATGACAAACAGTGAAAGACTAGGATGACAAACAGTGAAGGCACTAGGATGACAAACAGTGAAGCACTAGGATGACAACCAGTGAACTAGGATGATGACAACCAGTGAAGCGCTAGGGTGACAAACAGTGAAGCACTAGGATGACAAACAGTGAAGTACTAGGATGACAACCAGTGAAGCACTAGGATGACAAACGGTGAAGCACTAGGATGACAAACAGTGAAAGACTAGGATGACAAACAGTGAAGCACTAGGATGACAACCATGTTGTGAAGCACTAGGATGACAAACAGTGAAGCACTAGGATGACAAACCAGTGAAGCACTAGGATGACAAACAGTGAAGCACTAGGATGACAAACCAGTGAAGTACTAGGATGACAACCAGTGAAGCACTAGGATGACAAACAGTGAAGCACTAGGATGACAATAACACGAATGTAGTGTGTACAAACTCATGAAGTTTTGACAATGCTTGTTTACAAATACAGAACTCCTCTTTTCAAAGGCAGACTCGATGGTCTTGAGGAATCTCCAGCTGTAGACAAAAACTGCGGACCTCGCTAATTTGGGACTGAATTTAAATCAGTCGCTGTTGATCTAGAATTACAATGACGCATCTACAGAGGTTAAAAAGATGGCCCAACTTCAAGGAAAACTACTACCCAGTTCACAAAATTCATAAGGATGTCACTTCATTCACACAAAAGGCAATAAGCCGTGATGAACAAATACTTCCACGCACATAAAACCTCCATAATATTCTGTCATATTATTTTTCTTGCAGTCTCTGTTGTGGGCAGGTTCTCTCATGATGAACACCTCCATGAAGACAATGCTAAGAATGGGATGAGACACTGTAGTGTTGTTTTCAGGAAGACCAATTTATCGTCAGTGATCAGTTGAATCCATTAAAACCTTAGTCTCGACACATTTCCATCTTTCATTTCAAGAATCACTTGGTGTTTTTGCTTTCATTGGTTAGGGACTAACTTGGAAATTCAATGTCGGATAAGAAAGTTAATTCCTTACATTTTATACATACCCTCTTATTCTTCAAAGACATTTCAGAAGGAAAAACAAACAAAATAAAAATTGCACAGCTGCCCAGATTTTCTTCAAAGCTGCAGAGTAATACCAAAACAACAGTTTTTCAACTCTTTGATTTTAATGTTGTTATACCGGTACCTATGATACTGACAATTTACTTAAACTGCAACAACCCTGAAAAGCTGCTTTCAGAAACCAGATGACGTGTTTACCCCCACACCCATACCGCTACCCACCCACTTCCAACCTCTAAACTTATGGAATTAAGATTTTTATCCGACATCAGGCATTTAAACACACAGCATTAACATCATTTCCTTAGAGGAGGATCAGGTTTAAACAACTGGCACAATCCAATGTCCGATTTCTCAACATCATCCACTGAAGCTAGGATGACAAGCAGTGAAGCACTAGGATGACAAACCAGTGAAGCACTAGGATGACAAACAGTGAAGCACTAGGATGACAAACAGTGAAGCACTACTAGGATGACAAACAGTGAAGCACTAGGATGACAAACAGTGAAGCACTAGGATGACAAACAGTGAAAGACTAGGATGACAAACAGTGAAGCACTAGCATGACAAACATGTTGTGAAGCACTAGGATGACAAACAGTGAAGCACTAGGATGACAAACAGTGAAGCACTAGGGTGGCAAACAGTGAAAGACTAGGATGACAAACAGTGAAGCACTAGGATGACAAACAGTGAGCACCAGGGTGGCAAACAGTGAAGCACTAGCATGACAAACAGTGTTAGGAAGCACTGAAGCTATGACAAACAGTGAAGCAGTAGGAAGCACTAGGATGACAAACAGTGAAGCACTAGGGTGGCAAACAGTGAAAGAATGGGATGACAAACAGTGAAGCACTAGGATGACAAACATGTTGTGAAGCACTAGGATGACAAACAGTGAAGCACTAGGATGACAAACAGTGAAGCACTAGGATGACAAACATGTTGTGAAGCACTAGGATGACAAACAGTGAAGCACTAGGATGACAAACAGTGAAGCACTAGGATGACAAACATGTTGTGAAGCACTAGGATGACAAACAGTGAAGCACTAGGATGACAACCAGTGAAACACTAGGATGACAAACAGTGAAGCACTAGGATGACAAACAGTGAAGCACTAGGATGACAAACAGTAAAGCACTAGGATGACAAACAGTAAAGCACTAGCATGACAAACATGTTGTAAAGCACTAGGATGACAAACAGTGAAGCACTAGGATGACAAACATGTACTGACGCAGCAGTATCACAAACTTGAGTGTAAAATCATGGCAAAGTTAGCTATCTGCAAACTGTACAAGAGAGAAAGCAACTCACCCCTATAATTCCAGACACAAGCTTCTTGAAAGCTTCCTTCTTTTTCTTCTCGGAGTGTTGTTTCTGAGGGCTGGACTGGAGGATTTTGTCATCAAAAGACTGACAACACAGAAGTGTAGTTTAGGGCATATATACACACACATATACCTTGGTATCCCCAGTACAATTCACTTATCTTTACAGTTACATTATCAGTATGTCAGCTGCTCATGTCATCTGTTTTATCTAAGCAATGTGACACAAAAACACAAAATACCCCTATATGCCGCTGAATTCAGTTTTACCACACCTTGGTTATTTGGTGAACCTATGCATCTCATATTGTACATTTCAGTATATACTCCAATTAGGTTTACATAACATTCCAAGAATACCAAACAAGAAGTTATTTCTATTAACTAGTTAACATTTTCAAAATGTGCAGTGACATTACACAGGTTGTACAGTGAATTGGGGCACCTTTGATGACTGAGACACCCATAACAGGATTCTCCATGCCTAACAGCCCCTGATAATGTCCGTCCCATAAAGTTGCCTTTAATGACCATTCAGGGATCCGGAGACAATCCATATTAGCTTACCTGCACCAATGGATGTGTAACATCTGTTATCTGAAGAAGAATTTTGGCAAGGTCTGGGAATGACGGCCTCTGAAAGTTGTAGAATTTAAATAGAAAATCATATACAATGAATTCAAATACATGATAGATTTCAATAGTGACAAAAATGGAGAAGCAGGAAGAAGCTACTCACCAGTGCCTCATACAGCTGCAGCCCTAGCCCCAGCAACATGGCCTGGGAGCCCTCATGTTGGCCATGCACCTGCAGGGCGGTCAGCACGGACATGAAGACGTGAGATGCTGCCTCGTGGGTCATCACATCATCTGACTGCAGCTGGAACATTACCAGATGAGCTCCTACAATATGATACATGATATACCTGTTCCACATCAGGATACACAGTGGTCAGTACTGTCAATGTTTTGGTGTCTGAACCTAGATACACCGTTGCCAAATTGATACATGATTACCATATCTATCTGTATCAGGATACAGAGTTAGAAAATGGCACACATCTACACAAGGACATACATTTACAAAAATGACACAAATATCAGACAGATCGTTGTTAGTTAGCAAAGACAGTATTATCATGCACTCACATTTGTGATAGGGAAAATTTCAAGCTGAGCTAGCGAATGTTTTACATGGTAGCAATATTGCAGCCTTTGAAGGGGTTCTGTACTCCTGTTACCTGTTTGACTAGCGGCCAGGCTAGGTTGACACATTTGTTACAGGCCGTCGTATCATTCCAAGATAGTCCACTGTACACACACAGCAAGATGGAGGGGAACAGACTCTGAAACAAGATGGAGGCATACATTGTATACAATGCAAGATGGAGGCATACATTGTATACAATGCAAGATGGAGGCATACATTGTATACAAAGCAAGATGGAGGCATAGATTATCCAGTGGCTAACATGTCTCATAAGGAGTGATAAACAAGATGGAGGCATCATGCCTCAAAGAAGATGGAATATATTTCAGTGGCTAACATGTCTCATAAGGAGTGAAAAACACAAGTAAACAAATACATAAATAAAACAAGATTACACAGATGAATCAAAGTTTTTCTGAATTTTTTCCGAGACCTTCTCTGGAAATAATCACTGCTGCCATTTTTAGTCAAAGTCAAAGTTAATGCAATAGAAACTCAAAAACAATTTTAAAAAAAATAATCCCAAACTATGAAAAGGCACCCATTTGCAACTACATCTATCCATGTGCCAAGTTTGGTGAAGAAACATTGTGCCATTGTATGTGTTTTCAACATCTGCTCTGGAATAAATTCTTGCATGTATGGATGGATGACATACAGTGTGGACTTTAACACCTCCCAATCCCATCATGACACATTGAGGAGCATAAATATAAATGTAGCCCCTCACATCAAATAACAGTTTCCAACACAAGGGGACGGACCCTACAACACAGTATCTGTCTCCAGGGGCTGACCTACCTCTGTCTTCATACACTGCTGTCCGAGTTCACTGAGACTATCATCCTTGCTGGGTTGACTAGACTGAGCTGCACTGTTGTCTGTCTCCTCCATGGTTACATCATCTGACGACTCCATGTTGGACTTCCGGGAGTAGCATACACAACCTGAACAGAGAGGGAGGAATTCAGGGTAGCCATATCTGAGTCTTAACCACCCAAACAATATGTTGTATGTCACTCATTCACAGCAAAGTCACTGATGTTTCATAAATTCATGATTGTAACCGCTAAATGTGACCCCGGCAAACCAGTGTTTGATACCACAAGCGACTATTCACACTGTTGGGTGGCCGACCTGCCTCCAGAAAGTGGGGTGAGTGCAGTTCCATATACTCCCCGAGACAGCTGCCTGGTCAGCTGGTCCTCCAACACCTCACCTACCCCTACCACGACCCCTGTATCCAGGAAGTGGTCAAGTGTTTACCTAGCAGCTCCATATACTCCCGAGACAGCTGCCTGGTCAGCTGGTCCTCCAACACCTCACCTACCCCCACCACCACCCCTGTATCCAGGAAGTGGTGTCCTTTTTACCTAGCAGCTCCATATACTCCCAAGACAGCTGCCTGGTCAGCTGGTCCTCCAACACCTCACCTACCCCCACCCGACCCCTGTATCCAGGAAGTGGCTCCATATACTCGAGACAGCTGCCTGGTCAGCTGGTCCTCCAACACCTCACCTACCCCCACCACGACCCCTGTATCCAGGAAGTGGTCTAGTGTTTACCTAGCAGCTCCATATACTCCCGAGACAGCTGCCTGGTCAGCTGGTCCTCCAACACCTCACCTACCCCCACCACGACCCCTGTATCCAGGAAGTGGTCTAGTGTTTACCTAGCAGCTCCATATACTCCTGAGACAGCTGCCTGGTCAGCTGGTCCTCCAACACCTCACCTACCCCTACCATGCCCCCTGTATCCAGGAAGTGGTCAAGTGTTTACCTAGCAGCTCCATATACTCCCGAGACAGCTGCCTGGTCAGCTGGTCCTCCAACACCTCACCTACCCCTACCATGCCCCCTGTATCCAGGAAGTGGTCAAATGCTTACCTAGCAGCTCCATATACTCCCGAGACAGCTGCCTGGTCAGCTGGTCCTCCAATACCTCAGCTTCCTCCTGCTCCTTTTCGCCACTGTAACACAAAGGCATTTAGCCATTAGTAACATCTGGTATCTAACAGTATTTTGTATCCAGTAACAAGCTACATCTAGCGGCAAGTACAAGTATGATTAACTTGTATCCAACATCATCTAGCAACTCGTAGCATCTAACAACACCAGTGGTATCTATCATCCAGCAGCACTTACTAATATGTGGGTTCGACAGGAATTCAGGTCACAAGCAACCCATGAATATATAGGTGCCCAAATGAAATGTGGTCAGACTCTCTGATTTAAATGATTGCATCTAGTAACTAGTATCATTACTGAACCAGCAGCAGTTAATTTCTAGCTGCATCTAGCAGCAATCAGCATCTATCCACATCCCTTTAATAACTGAATCTTGAAACTAACATCATCTAGGATTTTGCATTATGTATGGCAAAAAGAATATAGTGAGTGAGTGAGTGAGTGAGTGAATGAGTGAGTTGGGTTTTACGCTGCTTTTAGCAATATTCCAGCAATATCATGGCGGGGGACACCAGAAATGGGCTTCACACATTGTACCCATGTGGGGAATCAAACCTGGGTCTTTGGCGTGACGAGGGAATGCTTTAACAACTAGGTTACCCCACCGCCCCTGAGAATATAATAACAAATGACACCAACATCATCTAGTAACTCACAAAATCTAGTCACTGCTATAACTTAATATCACAGTTTTACCCAACACATGTTTAACCAGTTTGCACTAAAATATTTTGCACTGAACGGTGTTTTTATTTGCAGATTTGAGCAGATATACCTTGAATATTTAAACAATTTCGTTTTACTATCATCATGATCACCAACTGAAAAGACTTACCCATTTTCAGACTTCTCAAATCTGAGATTTATTTGGTTCCATTTGACACTGAGCCTCTGAAAAAAACAAGTTAATATGAACATAAGTTCCCCAAAACAAGTGTATTGGAATCTTGGACACTGGAATAATTGATATTATGGTGCAATGTCATCAGGGTACGATGACCAAGACTGACCACTCTGTCCAATGTGTCTCCTAATACAACAAGCACTGGTTCCTTGGGTTGGTAGGTTGTTTAACGCCACACTCAGCAATATTTCAGCTTTATGGCTGCGGTCTGTAAATAATCGAGTCTGGACCAGATAATCCGGTGATCAACAGCATGAGCATTGATCTTCCCAATTAGGATACGATGACAAGTAAGTGAGCCTGACCACCTGATACCGTTAGTAGCCTCTTACAACAAGCATGGGTTACTGAAGACCAATTCTAACCCAGATCTTTACGGGTGTCTCCTTGGGACAGGTTCTGACATGAAATTCATGAGGGAAATGAATACAAGATGATTAATATCCATTTTAAACATCCATACTAAGCTAGTGTTACCTGTAGCATGTAGGGGCAGAGAGTGGACAGGATGGGCAGCAGAGCTGTTGTCTGACACTCCTTGGGGCAGTTCTGGACAAATGGCTTCATGAACACACTTACAAAGGTTAAGGAAATGTCAGCAGCTACTTGGCTTTCCACTGATATTACTCTACACAGAGAGGGCTAGGATTACATTTGAACAATACCTGGTATTTCAGTTAAATAATGACTAAAGAGACAGGAAAACCCAAAGTGATGCAGGTCTCAGACATATACAGCATAATTAAATACAAGAAGCACAGGCACAGAAACCTAGAATAACAAACACACTTAATTGGAGCATAGTAGATGAAGGTGCCGTTAAGAGAGTGAGAGAGTGAGAGAGTGAGCATGTGTGTGTGGGTGCCTGCTTCTGTTGGTTTCTTCATTAGTAATACCACAGTGAGAATAATCAAGGCTGCCTGTAAATAATACCAGTCAAGACAAACTAAGCTTGACATATAGAACATTAGGGTATTAATCAACCAAGGTGAGTGAGTGAGTGAGTTTAGTTTTACGCCACACTCAGCAGTATTCCCGTTCTATGGCGGCGGTCTGTAAATAATCGAGTCTGGACCAGACAATCCAGTGATCAACGGCATTAGCATCGATCTGCGCAATTGGGAAACGATGACATGTGTTAACCAAGTCAACATGCCTGACCACCCGATCCTGTTAGTTGCCTCTTACGACAAGCATGGGTTACTGAAGATTCAATATTCTAACCCGGGCCTTCACGGGTAATCAACCAAGGTGCAAAGGCAGACCAGATTGATTTAGTCACTGTTTATGAGAAGCCAAGGTTACTGGGGTCTCATTGTACCCGGAATCAGCACATGGTCACAGGGCAAGGATATGGATGATGGGCCGGAGTCTGTAGTCCGGGATGTGATGGAGCTGCTGGATGACTGACTTGAGGACGTACTCCACGAGTCCTGGTGCTGTGTAGAACTCGTAGCCCAGGCACTGACCAGCATTGCCCAGGATGTGGAAGCTGAAGATGTACACAGACAGAACATTGTCAGAATAGCCGGAGAGGATATCTGTCATAGTCTAATAATTACAGTCTTATCCCACCAACAGGTTCATGCATTGTGATACGCTTGCCCTATGCTGAATATACCCATAAAGAAGAGCATATCACACAACAATAGATTGGATTAAAACAAAGGTCACACCAGGCTGTTGTAAGCAACATATCAGCTATACCTGGGCAAGCTTCTTGTGAGGTGTACAGTAAGTGAGTGAGTGAGTTGGGTTTTACGCCACTTTTAGCAATATTCCAGCAATATCACGGCTGGGGACACCAGAGATGGGCTTCACATATTGTACCCATGCAGGGAATCAAACTAGGCCTTTGGCGTGACGGGCTAACACTTTAACCACTAGACTACCCCACCGTCCCGTGAGGTTTACAATCCCAACTAGACAGCACTACAACAACTATGTCAGAGTAACAACTGTGTCCCACATGGTAACAAGTGTGTCCCACATGGCAACAAGTGTGTCCCACATGGCAACATCTGTGTCCCTACTCTGTAACAACTGTGTCCCATACTGTAACAATTGTGTCCCATACTGTAACAACTGTGTCTCCACATGGTAAGAACTGTCCCCACACTGTAACAACTGTGTCCCACACTGTAACAACTGTGTCCCACATGGCAACAACTGCATCCACATACTGTAACAACTGTGTCCAGCATGGTAACAATTGTGTCCCACATGGTAACAACTGTGTCCCATACTGTAACAACTGTGTCCCACACTGTAACAACTGTGTCCCACATGGCAACAACTGTGTCCCATACATGGTAACAACTGTGGTCCCACATGGTAACAACTGTGTCCCACATGGTAACAATTGTGTCCCCACACTGTAACAACTGTGTCCCCACACTGTAACAACTGTGTCCCACACTGTAACAACTGTGTCCCACATGGTAACAACAGTGTCTCCATACTGTAACAACTGTGTCCCCACACTGTAACAACTGTGTCCCACACTGTAACAACTGTGTCCCACACGGTAACCACGGTGTCCCATACTGTAACAACTGTGTCCCACATGGTAAGAACTGTGTCCCCATACTGTAACAACTGTCCCCATACAGTAACAACTGTGTCCCACATGGTAACAACAGTGTCCCCACACTGTAACAACAGTGTCCCCATACTGTAACAACTGTGTCCCACACGGTAACAACTGTGTCCAACACGGTAACCACGGTGTCCCATACTGTAACAACTGTGTCCCCACACAGTAACAACTGTGTCCCCATACTGTAACAACTGACCCCATACAGTAACAACTGTGTCCCACATGGTAACAACAGTGTCCCCATATTGTAACAACAGTGTCCCCACACTGTAACAACAGTGTCCCCATACTGTAAGAACTGTGTCCCACATGGTAAGAACTGTGTCCCCACACAGTAACAAATGTATCCCCATACTGTAACAACTGTGTCCCCACACGGTAACAAGTGTGTCCTCATACTGTAAGAACTGTGTCCCACATGGTAACAACAGTGTCCCCATACTGTAACAACTGTGTCCCACATGGTAACAACTGTGTCCCCATACTGTAACAACTGTGTCCCACATGGTAAGAACTGTGTCCCCACACAGTAACAACTGTGTCCCCACACTGTAACAACTGTGTCCCCATACTGTAACAACTGTGTCCCCATACTGTAACAACTGTGTCCACATGGTAACAACAGTGTCCCCACACTGTAACATCTGTGTCCGACACTGTAACAAATGTGTCCTCATACTGTAACAACTGTGTCCCCATACTGTAACAACTGTGTCCCTTCACAGTAACAACTGTGTCCCCATACTGTAACAACTGTGTCCCCATACTGTAACAACTGTGTCCACATGGTAACAACAGTGTCCCCACACTGTAACATCTGTGTCCGACACTGTAACAAATGTGTCCTCATACTGTAACAACTGTCCCCACACTGTAACAACTGTGTCCCACATGGTAACAACTGTGTCCCCATACTGTAACAACTGTGTCCCACATGGTAACAACTGTGTCCCCATACTGTAAGAACTGTGTCCCACATGGTAACAACAGTGTCCCCATACTGTAACATCTGTGTCCGACGCTGTAACAAATCTGTCCTCATACTGTAACAACTGTGTCCCCACACTGTAACAACTGTGTCCTCAAACTGTAACAACTGTGTCCTCACACTGTAACAACTGTGTCCCCACACTGTAACAACTGTGTCCTCAAACTGTAACAACTGTGTCCACATACTGTAACAACTGTGTCCCACATGGCAACAACTGTGTCCCCACACTGTAACAACTGTGTCCCACACTGTAACAACTGTGTCCCATACAGTAACTGTGTCCCATACTGTAACAACTGTCCCCATACAGTAACAACTGTCCCATACTGTAACAACTGTGTCCCATACTGTAACCACTGTGTCCCATACTGTAACCACTGTGTCCCATACTGTAACCACTGTCCCCATACTGTAACAACTGTGTCCCATACTGTAACCACTGTGTCCCATACTGTAACCACTGTGTCCCATACTGTAACTGTCCCCATACTGTAACAACTGTCCCCACACTGTAACAACTGTCCCCATACTGTAACAACTGTGTCCCACATGGTAACAACTGTGTGCCACACTGTAACAACTGTGTCCCCATACTGTAACAACTGTGTGGAATAAGGTAACAACTGTGTCCCACATGGTAACAACTGTGTCAAACATTGTAACATTTATATCCCCCACTGTAACAACTGTGTCCCACATGGTAACAACAGTGTCCCACATGGTAACAACTGTGTTCCCATACTGTAACAACTCTGTTCCATACTGTAACAACTGTGTCCCCATACTGTAACAACTGTGTGGAATAAGGTAACAACTGTGTCCCACATGGTAACAACTGTGTCAAACATTGTAACATTTATATCCCCCACTGTAACAACAGTGTCCCACATGGTAACAACTGTGTCCCCATAATGTTACAACTCTGTTCCATACTGTAACAACTGTGTCCCCATACTGTAACAACTGTGTGGAATAAGGTAACAACTGTGTCCCACATGGTAACAACTGTGTCAAACATTGTAACATTTATATCCCCCACTGTAACAACTGTGTCCCACATGGTAACAACAGTGTCCCACATGATAACAACTGTGTCCCCATACTGTAACAACTGTGTGGAATATGGTAACACATGTGTCCCCACACTGTAGTGAGTGAGTGAGTTTAGTTTTACACCGCTTTAAGCAATATTCAAGCAATATCACGGCGGGGGACACCAGAAATGGGCTTCACACAATGTGCCCATGTGGGGAACAGAACCCGGGTCTTCGGTGTGACAAGCGAAAGCCTTAACTAGGCTACCCCACCACCCCCTCTCCACACTGTAACAACTGAGTCGAACATGGTAACAACTGTGTCCCACACTGTAACAGTCAGTGAATAGGTGATTGAAACCACTCAACCAAAGTGTGACACAGGAAACAATGTTGGCACATGGGTCCCCTTTATGACCAAGGACATAATGGATGACAACCTCTTTCCCTGGGTAACATTGTCTCACCAGTTTTCATAGATGATGGAGAGGAAGTTCTGCATTCTCTCCAGGGGATGTTTGGATGTGGTTGTTTCTGTGCTGTCGTTGCATGGCGGAGGGATACCTGCAAACACAGGCAACCAGGGGAGTCACACAGCAAGAGGGAAATTTCTTTTACTGGTATTGAAGAAGTAGTCTCAAAGTGTTTAATTTCTGACATTCACTGATATGGAAACAAAGATATACTGTCAGGAATACATTATTACACCTGTATCAGGACTGGTGGTGATGGGTGAGTGAGTGAGTGAGTGAGTGAGTGAGCCAGTGGGTGGGTGGGTGGTGATGGGTGAGTGAGTGAGTGAGTGAGTGGGTGGGTGGTGATTGGTGAGTGAGTGAGTGAGTGAGTGAGTGGGTGGGTGGGTGGGTGGATTTAGGTGAGTGGGTGAGTTGGGTTTTATGCCGCTTTTAGCAATATTCCAACAATATCATGGCAGGGGACACCGAAAATGGGCTTCACACATGTACCCATGTGGGGAATCGAACCCGGGTCTTCGGTGTGACGAGCGAACGCTTTAACCACCGCCCCAGGTGGTGGTGATGGTGATGATGATGATGATGATGACATTTTCATATTGGAAAATCTGATTTCAGTACTATAGTGAGTGAGTGAGTTTAGTTTTATGCCACAATTTTCCAGCTATATGGTGGCGGTCTGTAAATAATCGAGTCTGGACCAGACAATCCAGTGATCAACAGCATGAGCATCGACCTGCACAATTGGGAACCGATGACATGTGTCAACCAAGTCAGCAAGCCTGACCACCCAATCCTGTTAGTCGCCTCTTACGACAAGTCTTTTGTGGCAAGCATGGGTTGCTGAAGACCTATTCTACCCCGGATCTTCACGGGTCATTTAACACATACAATAGCAACAGTTATTTTCCAGACAACATAAATCAGCAACAATTGTGGCAGGGCCTCTACACACCTAGTATTTGCAGTTTCTCGTTGTCTTGTAAATCATAGGCCATTGCAAAGTCAGGGTGTCTCAGTTTGAGGAATTCAGGCAACCATAACTGACTCAGGGTTCTGGAAGAAGGTGAGGGTGAATGAATTAGGCAGTAGATCACACAGCAATATTCCAGCAATATCACAGCAGATGCCCTCAAACTGGGCTTCATACTTTGTACTCATGAGGAGAATGAAACTATCTCCCGCTATTCATATTGTACCAAGACACAAAAATAACATTGGAATACGATCAGTTTTAAAGTTCCAGTCTAAATGAAAAGAATTTAATGATTAGAGACCTATTCCAACTGTAGACAAAACAGATGATGTGGCAAAAGGGTTTCATCAAACCAGAATGGAGATCATAATACTCTCGATGATGAATGATGTTGAAAATGTAGCCCTTTGACTGGATGGCTATTGTTAGTGTTGCGTCATTCCCCAAAACAGGCGAGGAGGGAATGTGTTTCATCATTACATAATGGAGACACAATAGCCTGGATGATCAAAGATGTGGCAATAGTGAGTTTAGTTTTACGCTGCTTTTAGCAATATTCCAGCAACATCACGGTCGGGGACACCAGAAATTTGCTCCACACATTGTACAAATAGGGAAATTGTGAACCTAGGTCTTCATTGTGACAAGCTAACGCTTCAACCATTAGGCTACCCCAACGCCCCAGAGGTGGAAATAAGAGCCAGCACATACTTGATGAGTGACATGAGGTTCTCCAGCAGCTGGCTGATGTGGGGCGTGGCAGGGTTCCTGAGGATGGGGCCGCCATTGCTCTGGTTACCGTTGGCAAAGCCCCCGTTCTGCGCCACCTGGGGGATGGAAGTATTTCTTTTACACAAATGTAGATAATTACTTTGAAATCAGAAATGTGTACTTGGCTAAGAAACATCAGTATAACTCGGCACTGCCTGGAATGAAAAACCCAAATGCCACCTTAATTTTGAGTGAGTGAGTTCAAATTTAACCAAACCTGCAGAGGTTTTCAATTCTTTGAAGAGAGTCGTCCTTGGGGTACATATTATGCATTTTCCGGCTGAAAAATGTCCTGTGACAGTTGTATCAATGTTTTTTGAATAAAAAGATTGAACAATAAATAAACTCTTTTATTTATTATACGGCCCCTACCTCACAGAGTTACCTCCCTTAGCGCATGCGCATCAACTGGGTAGGCTCCTAGACCCGTGATCATCATTCCTTCTGCTGAATATATCAGTGAACAGAATTGCGGGGAGGCCGGGGAGGCCCTACCCCAGGGCGACTACTCTCTTCAAAGAATTGAAAACCTCTGCAGGTTTGGTTAATTCTTTTCAGAAGAGATCGCCCTGGGGTACATATTATGCATAAACACAGACTCCCAAAGACCGAGGCCAGGGAGGAGGGAGTTCTGTCAAGCACACACAAATATAGCGGTCATCGATCATGGAAAAAATTGAACAGACGCATGCATAACACTCACCTGTCACTTGTCCCAGTTTCGCTTCAAGCGAGAGGCATTATGGGAGGGAACTGACAGGAGGAATTGTGCTCAAAGATGACCTCTCTAGCATAATGAGACATTGCGTGGTGCGAATGTCAATGAATCCCCACCCACTAAGTGGCTACATGAGAGCACCGTAGGGGAATGCAAAATACCACTCACTAACGATATAGTAACTCCGTGAGAGAATCGAAAGGGGTACAGGTTCTCTGAGTGAGCACACAGTAGCAGACATGTCAATAATGGAATTATTGTACAGTAGCGTCAAAACAAACCAATAAACCAAGACTCACTCGGTCAGGGTGGCAGGACACTGTCCACTGGAGAGAACAGTACGCCAAAGCTTCGCCGCGACACGGGGAATCGTATCGAGCTGATAATGGCGATATAAGCGTGCTTGGCCGGCTCCAAATAGCGGCGGAGCAGATCTCTTCAATGGGGAGTGCCGATGCAAAAGCTTTGGCGGCTACTGACCTGACGAGTGAGCCTTCAACCCCTCAGGGGGAGGCTTGCCCTTAGCCTGATAAGCGGCACAAATACGAGACTAGCCAGCGCAGACAAAGTCTGCTTGCTGGCTGGCAGACCAGCCTTCCCGCCACCGTAACAACAGAACAGCTGGGTACCTGTCTGGATCCCCTGCGCTCGCTTGATATAGACTTTGAGCGTCTTCACGGACATCCAACGGGTGAGTGCTCGTAGGGAGTGGTCCCCGATGTGGAAGGCTGGGTAAGAGTAGAAGTTCGATAGGAGCTGTCACATGGAAAGCGTGATCGACCTTCGGTCGGTAAGTATCTGGAGGCCGAATACTGACCACGATCCGTGTGAAACACAGTCAGCGCCGAGGTCCGGACGACATAGCATGTAAATCGCCGACCCTACGACCAGATGTTACCGCCACCAGAAAAACAGCTTTCCAGGTCAACAACTGAATGGAAATAGCCGATAGGTGTGAGAAAGTGGGATCGACAGCCAATCGAAACACGATCGACAAATCCCAAAGGTGGACTGGTTCGGCCTGAGAGCAGGTCGAATCCGTTCTGGCGCCAGCGAAAGCGCTAGATGAGAGGGTGCTGCCCCAGAAGAGCACCATCGACAGGGGTGTGAAAAGTGGAAATGAAGCGGTGGAGTAGCGCTGAATGGTCGGCCGCCAGGCCTTCTTCCAAAGCGAGCTTGCAAAAACTCCAATACTTTCGGACTAAATCCGCAGAAAGGGATCTGCAAACCCCTTATCTGAACACCAGCGCATAGCGGGACCACCTATCCTGGTGCTGAGCGAACGCTGTGAATCCCTACCTCGAAGCCAGAATTGTGTCTGCAACTGCTGCAGGAATTCGCTTGCCTCGAGGTTAGACCTGACAGAGGCTGCCACCCACTGAATCCGTGGATTTGGGTGGGGCGCCCGTTCTGAGTGAGAATGTCGGTCGCGAAAAGGTAATAGAACAGGAGGCTGGAGGCCAGAAACCTGAGAATTACCGAAACCAGCTCTGTGACGGGCCAAAGCGGTGCCAGTAGCACAAGTAGCCGAGCTGGCTGGGTGGACAGCTGTGAAAGGACACGGGAATGAGTGGTAACGGGCGGAACGCTTCCAGAGCACTTTGCCCGCCCAATCCAGCAGGAAATGCCGGCAGCCAACGCCTGGGTCCGGTATCCGAGCAGAACATTGGGTGTTCGATGCGTCCGATCCACCCTCGAACGCAATCTACATACAACTGGGAGATTACTGTGAATATCTGCCTGTCGAGCATCCACTCGCGAAAGGGCCAGGATCCGGGCGAGAGAGCGATCTGCTCGCGACGCTTCTCCAGCCCCGAGGAGATAAACAGGAGTAGTACCTGACAATCGTGACTGCTCGCACCAGATGAGAAAGTCCCACGCTTCCCGAGGAGCCGCTGCTAGACACCAGGCCTCCCCTGCTTCAGGATGTACGACATGGCCGCCTGGTTGTCTAACTGAAGACGGACTACCTGGCCAATGGACATGCTTTCTCTGAAGCCAATACCAACCGCACAGCTCTCAGTTCCAACACGCTGATGTGAAGGTGGAGGCTTCGCTTCGGACCAGAGATCCGGAAGTCGACAGACTGCTCCAGAACACCCCCAGCCCGTGAGGGACGATCGGTCTGAACTGTGGAGAGCTGGCGCTGATTTCCAAGGGAACCCCTGGTGAGATTCCCGACATTTGTCCACCACTGAAGGTGAGGTGTCAACCACTCGGGACTGTGAGACTCAGCGCCCAGATCCTCCGCGGTGAGTCCACAGCCGAGCCAAAGCTTGCTGTATGGGACGATCTCAACCGCTACCGCCACACTACAGAGATCGCCGCACGCCATATGGCTCCAGTAGACGGAGCCAAGTCCGCGGTTGGTGCCTGGGGCTGAGAGGAATGAAGATACCATCTCCAACTCTGGTGACCCGGTCGGGCGACAAGGAAACGAGATCCTTGTTCGCTTGGAATCGCTACCCAAGAAAACCAAGTCCTGGGTGGGTACCAGGTCGGATTTCTTGAGGTTGATGATCCACCCCAGTCGAAGTTAGAATGTCTATCACTGTGTGAGTAGCATCTTGACTCGGGCTGGCTGTGTTAGTGCTCCGAGCAACCAGTCGCCTAGGTAAGGGTAACAACGCCTTGGCGAGCGCAGCTAGGGTAGCTGGGACTAACATGAGCTTGGTGAACACCCTTGGGGCAGTCGATATGTCAAGGGGAGCACCCTGAATTGGTAATACATCCCGGCCGTAAGAGAACCAAGGTACTGCTTGAACGATGGATGTATGGGTACATGCAGATACGCGATCCTTTAGGTCGATTGACGGAGCCAATCGCCGGGCTGAACAGATGAGATCACCGAAGCCGCAGTGTCTCCATCTTGAAGGATGGTACTTCGAAAGCATGCGATTCAACCCTTGAGGTTGAGAATCGGACGGAACCCCGCCGTTTTCTTCGACGACGAGGGAAGTACGCGGAATAAAATCCCGCCTGTTCCTTCCCGTGGAATGCGCCGATTGCGGACTTGTCCAGCAGAGCCTGAACTTCGTCGCGCAATATGTCCGCCTCCTGGCTTGACATGACGGCACCGAGTGCGACGATGCCGGGTGAAGTCGGGCGACTCGCGCTCCACAGTGGGAGATGGCCTATGCTGACCGGGCCAGCACCTAAGCGTTGTTGGTAGCCTTCTCCCATTCCGCAGGAATAGAGAGAGGCGCTCCCACTGGGATATAGGGGTAGGAGCGTGTGTAGACCCGAAGTAGCGGAGCTGACTGGCGCGGACACACGGCTTGAGCGGCAGCCTGATGGGTTAACGGAGGTCGGGCAGACCTCCCCCGCTTCCGCCGAAAAGGCTGGGAGCTAGTCGAGGACTGCCTTGCCCCTACCCTTGGCGGATCTGTTCCTCCGCCTACCCCTACCAAGCGGCCGGGCCAGCCGGCAGACTCGGGTGTAGGCTGCACACCGGGCGGAGGAAGGTGGCACGGGAGCTGGGGCGCAGACACCCGCTGGTGCTCCAACAAGGCCTTAGAGTCCTTGAAGGAGGTAGCTGCAGCGCAGCCTCCCGCATGACCTGCTGGGCCCCGGAAAGAGGGTCGCCCCAGACGGAAAGGGAGGGCCAGCAAGGTCTGCTGTGTTGCTGCCGAAAGTACCTAGACGCCGACAGCCACAGCCTGCGATCCCCATGACCGCGCACATCACCGCCGACGCAGCAGACCGCAAAGAGTCGCGCCAGGTGAGCCTGCACTTCCAAAGCTGACGGAGCAGCACGATTACGCGGCGACATCGCCGCCAGCATGCCCTCCGCTTCCAGGGCCTAACCTCTGAACCGAGGGAGAGGTAGGCCTCATGGACCACCACCCGCACTCTGCTGCATCGCTCCGCAGACCTCCTCAGAGGTCCGCACGCTGTCGCAGAGGGGCCCCGCCAGGGCAAAAGGTGGAGTCAGGCGCCTTGCCGAGCAGCCGAGCTGCTCCGAGGAAGCCGAGCCTCCCCAGGGCGACGGAAGTGAACACACATTCGCCTACAATTGGCACAACGAACAGGAATCCTCCCCTGCTGGTAGCCGCGACGAGATCCGTAAGTCAAACCGCATCGGGCACCAGACAAGAGGGGATCACCACGCCCGGTGACCAACGGCGGCAGAATGCGGAGCTGCGCCTGCGAGGGTTGCCTAGGGCAAACGCCTTCGCTTGGCAAGCGGAACTCAGTCGAGTCCACGCAACCAGCAGGCACCGCGCCTGGGGTAGGCCCTCGCAATTCTCTGCCGGACTCCCGCAAGCGTCGGGCAAAACGGAAGCCTCCGGCCATGCTCCTCAACCTCCCCTAAGCTCCATTGCCTCGGCGCTCGGAGCCCGAAGTCAGAGGCTGGGTCTCCTCCGAAGAGGACCCTAACCCCACCCGTGGACTGCCTAGCTTAGGAACCACAGGAAGGGAAGAACAGACAGACGGCTCCACGCCAGCCAGCCGGGCGCGGCGGGACCTCGTCCCGGTGACGCTGGAGGCAGGCCAGGCAGAACTGGTGCCTCCGCCTCAAAGCGGTGTGCGCAAGGACCGGAATACCAGGAATACTCAACGGTCTCCCGCGCTTAACTCCGGAGAGGGGACTGGGAGCACCTCCTCTCCGAGCAGCCGAGGCGCCCGATCCGAAGCCAGAGGCAACGGATCTACAGACGCCTTCAAGGCTGAGGGATCGAGCCGAGCCCGCGATCCCACCTCGACTTCTCCGCCTCGTCCGAGTGGGTGAGGAACTCCTGCCGGAGACCTCCAACCGACTCCCGAACGAAGGACTTCACGGAGTCCATATGCTGCTGAAACATAGATTCCATTACCGACATGTCAAAACCACTCGGCGGTAGGAGAGGGGAAGGGCCTCGGGATTTTTCCCTTTTTGACGACGCTTTGTTTTAGACGGGGACCTAAGCGCCAGGTCCTCCCCGCCTCACGATCTCACGATAAAAACAACGATCGGGCCGCCCGCCGCCTTCTGGGCCCGGGGAAAAGGCCAGACAAATAGGGCAGGACTCAGCGCCGCCGGCCCGCCTTCTCAAGACAGGCAACGATAGCTCATGCCTGTCGCCCGTGGAATTTCTCTCTGTCCACAGACCTAACAGGATGAAAAGGCCTGAAAGCAAACACGCAAGCATGTAGCTAACAGCGCCAGCAGCATATAAACACGAGAAAACATTGAAAAATACATGAAGGTTACCACGAAAGTAATAGTTGGTTTTAATACGCAATATTAATTAACACATGGCACGCTTAAACTTCCCGCCATGGCAGAGCAACACGCGGCGTAAAACCACGGAAAGTTCGCGTATTTTGTATTAATACAAAGTCACAATTATGAAACAACCAACTGTAAAGCTTTACTGTTCCTTGTTTTAGGCAAATAAAGACCATACATACAGGTGGTGTCTCAGACATAGCTTTCTTTATTAGCTTTCAGCTGTCCGCCTCATGAAGTGCGCTCTATTATAAACACGCCTGTTCACGCAGTGACAGCAGAAGGAATGATGATAATGGGTCTAGGAGCCTACTCCAGTTGGTGCGCGCATGCTTAAGGGAGGTAACTCCGCGGAGGTAGGGGCCGATAATAAATAAAAGAGTTTATTTATTGTTCAATCTTTTTATTCAAAAACATTGATACAACTGTCACAGGACATTTTTCAGCCGGAAAATGCATAATATGTACCCCAAGGACGCATCTCTGAAAATCTGTTAAGTAAAATAAATTTGTCAAAAGCCATTGCCTGAAAATGGCTGCATATATTTTCGTATTTCCTGTCCTTATTTCACATGTGATCTTAGTACTACAATGATCATAACACAGCCTGGTGTAAGTGGTACATGTATCACTAAACTCTCTTTGTGGATTACTCAAAGGAAAATAAGAAAACCCAATTCTTTCACATTACATTAGTTAATCCCATGACAGATTGACTGTAATAATATGAGAGGTTTTCCAAGTATGGTTCATATCGGATGCTGTGTCTAGTCTATTTGTCAGTTCTCGTTCATCTGATAGGAAAGATCCGTCTGTGATAACCAGTGAGGAATGGGCATTACGATGAGTGAGTGAGTTGACTTCCATGCTGATATGAACAGTATCCAAGTTACATCTTGTATTTCAGCTTGATGTTGATGCCTGTGACCATTTCGGTGAAATCCATTGGCACGGACACTGTGCTAATAAACCTTGAAATATAATCAGGACCAACTGAGATTTGGATCCACAATCACTGATTTCTGGCATGGGATGGAACTTTGACTCTTTAGATGACTGGGCCACATGTGTCCCTACCTCACACACTCACAAATGGATTATGTCAAGATCCAAACCCAGGTCTTCAGTGAGTCAAGCTAACACTTCACCCACCAAGCTACCCCATCAGGTACAGAAGCTAAGCTACATTCCTACCTGCATATCATCCGGCCACTTGGTTCTCTTCATCACAGCTAGGATAGTGTTGATACAATAACTTATCTGTAACACAAATGTGTCTACATCAAGCATGCTAACTACATAATTTTATAAATTCCGTCTCCTCAACAACATGATAAATGTCCAAGAGAAATATCATGCACATCTTGCTCAGTGAACATTAGTGACAGTGACTCTGTTGTACCACTGTTGCAAACAGTATTTCAGGTGATGTGTGGCTTGTTAGCCATTGCAAATCCCAAATATGTCAGTTTGCAGACTTAGGAACTGGAGTAAGGTTGTCAGGTAAGTCAAGAATATGACAGTAAACTTTAAACCTGCTATTTACACTATTCCAATGTGTCATGTTCATGTGAGTGGAAGGGTGAAAGTGAATTGATAGAAACAAAACAGGATCAAATACTGGAGTGTCAGAGATTAAAGAAAAGCAGCACTGATAATACCAAGAGCATAATAAAACCACAGCTAATATGACCTGTTAATTCCACAACATAGACCTGTGAAGATCTGGGTTCGAAATTGGTCTTCAGCAGCCAATGCTTGTTGAAAGAATGAACAAGTGGGACCAGGTGGTCAGGCTCACTGACTGGGTTGATGCATGTCATGGTATCCCAATTGTCTCAAATGATGTGCACTGGATTGTCTGGTCCTGACTCAAATATTTATAGACCGCTGTCATATAGCTAGAAATTGTTCAATGCAGGGTTAAACAGCAAATGAAGTCAACCAAACCTCAACTTACATGTGACCTGTTAATACCACAAGTGTCAGCTGAACTGGGCTCCACTGGAGGCTGATCTAGACCAACATATGACATGAACTTGGCTGGACTACTGAATGCTCTGAAAGAGACATTAGGAATATACAGAAAGCAAACAAAGGACAAATGAAGCTCATTTAACAAAGCTTAGTTACTTAAGGAAGTCACTCGTAGACATTGAGACATGTTGAACGGGAAGACAGAGGAGTAATGCCTGTACAGAAACACTCAACCGTCCTGGGGACTTGAAATTGAAATGAAAAGAATTGCCTTTCTTCACATTTTAACTTACATTTGGCACAATGGCACAAGCCCTTGTTGCACTACTGAACATTAACCAACACACCTTTAACATCACTGTGGATCCTCAGCAGATGTTGAGTAGTATATAAAACATCTCATTGATGTAAACGCTGTAAAAAATGTTATTTCATTTTCTACCAGTTGAATTGGAAAGTGTACTGGTAGAATCTCTGATTCCAATCTCTACTAGTAGGATCGGAGATTCTACCAGTAGAGACTCTGATCGCAATCTCTACTGGTAGAGACTCTGATTGCAATCTCTACTGGTAGAGGCTCCAATCGCAATCTCTACTGGTAGAGACTCCGATTGCAATCTCTACCCTGACATATACATGTGCTTTGCAGGTTCAAGTCCTGCTAACAAAATCATCTACGGCACATAACATCTATTAGCATCAGCAACCATTGGAGATGTTGAAAGGCACACTCTGTGTCTGACACTTACTCTGTGAATTCTGGAGAGACCCACAATTCCTTGACAGGAGATAGAACTTCTTCTATAAATGACGACTGCTTGTTGAAATCTTTGAACTGATTGCTGAAAACAAAGATGAATTGGTTACAACAGTATTGAGGCAACCTATTTCGGATTACATTTTGTCAAACAAAACAACTCTTGATCTTGATGACAAATTTTCATCAACAAATCTGTGAACCATGAAACAAATGATGTCCAAATATTTGTAAGGGGACAATTCTCACCTGATGAGTATAAGGGCTTCTGTGAGTATACACTTCTCCATCTGGGATAGCTGCTCTGGGTCCTTACTGATGTGTTTGATGTGATCATACAGCCGGTCAAACACGGGCTGTGGACATAAATACAGTGAGTACAGACACTGTTTTACTGGCAGATAAATACAGACACTGTTTTACTGGGAGATAAATACAGACATTGTTTTACAGGGAGAAAAATACAGACACTGTTTTACTGGGAGATAAAGACAGACACTGTTTTACAGATAAACACTGTTTTACTGGGAGATAAATACAGACACTGTTTTACTGGGAGATAAATACAGACACTGTTTTACTGGGAGATAAATACAGACACTGTTTTACTGGGAGATAAATACAGACACTGTTTTACTGGGAGATAAGGACAGACAGTGTTTTACAGGGAGATAAATACAGACACTGTTTTACAGGGAGATAAATACATACACTGTTTTACAGGGAGATAAATACAGACACAGTTTTACAAGGAGATAAGGACAGACACTGTTTTACTGGAAGATAAGAACAGACACTGTTTTACAGGGAGATAAGGACAGACACTGTTTTACTGGGAGATAAATGCAGACTCTGTTTTACTGGGAGATACTTTTTGGGAGATAAGGACAGACACTGTTTTACTGGGAGATAAGAACAGACACTGTTTTACAGGGAGATAAGGACAGACACTGTTTTACTGGGAGATAAATGCAGACACTGTTTTACTGGGAGATAAATGCAGACACTGTTTTACAGGGAGATAAGGACAGACACTGTTTTACATGGGAGATAAATGACAGACACTGTTTTACAGGGAGATAAGGACAGACACTGTTTTACAGGGAGATAAGGACAGACACTGTTTTACAGGGAGATAAGGACAGACACTGTTTTACTGGGAGATAAGGACAGACACTGTTTTACTGGGAGATAAGGACAGACACTGTTTTACAGGGAGATAAGGGAGATACTGGGAGATAAATACAGACACTGTTTTACTGGGAGATACTGGGAAGGACAGACACTGTTTTACAGGGAGATAAGGACTGACACTGTTTTACTGGAAGATAAATACAGAAACTGTTTTACAGGGAGATAAGGACAGACACTGTTTTACTGGGAGATAAATACAGACACTGTTTTACAGGGAGATAAGGACAGACACTGTCTTACTGGGAGATAAAGACAGACACTGTTTTACTGGGAGATAAATACAGACACAGTTTTACAAGGAGATAAGGACAGACACTGTTTTACTGGAAGATAAGAACAGACACTGTTTTACAGGGAGATAAGGACAGACACTGTTTTACTGGGATATAAATACTGACACCGTTTTACTGGGAGATAAATTCAGTCAGTACAGAAATTGTCTTACTGATTTAGAGTGAGACTGAAAGATGGATTGAGGCAAATAGACAGGGTGAGAGTAAGAGAGGGCCTATGGAAGCGAGTCAGAGAGTGAGTGAGTGAGAGAGACAGTGATTACATCCAAGGACTCTTTCTACAAACAGCCATTATGATCAGCCATCTTGGTTTCCAAGTGACAGAGCATCAGTGACTTACAAACAGGAGGTCGGGGTATTGCTTGCAGATCTTCACCAACACAGAGCATGCATGCTGTCTCACATTCTTCACAGCACGACTCCTTGTGGACTTGGTCTGCCCGAACAGGTTGAACACAACTGCATGGAATATCTGCAACAGATGGGAAGATCAGCATTCAAAAACCATGGAAACATCCATTATGAAACTGTCTGTTTGGGGAGGGAACACCCATAATCACCAACATCCTTGTAACAAGGACCTGAATTATCTGTATCGTAACCTTGTCTGTCAAAGAATACTACACCCAATTCAAACAATATCATACAAGTCTTTATAAGACACAGGCATACAATGACACATACACACACTGGCACACAGACAGACACACACAGCTACAGAGACACACATACAGCTAAACACAGATCAGACATACAGACAGACAGACACACACAGTTATAGAGACAGACACAGAGCTAAACAGATAAGACATACATACAGACAGACACAGACATAGAGCTAAACACAGATAAGACATACATATATACAGACAGACACACAGAGTTACAGAGACAGACATAGAGCTAAACACAGATAAGACATACATACAGACAGACACAGACATAGAGCTAAACACAGATAAGACATACATACATACAGAGAGACAGACACAGAGACAGACACAGAGACAGACAGACAGTTACAGAGACAGACACAGAGCTAAACACAGATAAGTCATACATACAGACAGACACAGACATAGAGCTAAACACAGATAAGACATACATACAGACAGAGACATACAGACAGACACACACATAGAGCTAAACACAGATAAGACATACAGACAGATAGACAGACAGACACAGATATAGAGCTAAACACAGATAAGACATACATACAGACAGACACAGACATAGAGCTAAACACAGATCAGACAGACAGACAGACAGACACAGTTACAGAGACAGACACAGAGCTAAACAGATAAGACATACATACAGACAGACACAGACATAGAGCTAAACACAGATAAGACATACATATATACAGACAGACACACAGAGTTACAGAGACAGACATAGAGCTAAACACAGATAAGACATACATACAGACAGACACAGACATAGAGCTAAACACAGATAAGACATACATACATACAGAGAGACAGACACAGAGACAGACACAGAGACACAGAGACAGTTACAGAGACAGACACAGAGCTAAACACAGATAAGTCATACATACAGACAGACACAGACATAGAGCTAAACACAGATAAGACATACATACAGACAGAGACATACAGACAGACACACACATAGAGCTAAACACAGATAAGACATACAGACAGATAGACAGACAGACACAGATATAGAGCTAAACACAGATAAGACATACATACAGACAGACACAGACATAGAGCTAAACACAGATAAGACAGACAGACAGACAGACACAGTTACAGAGACAGACACAGAGCTAAACACAGATAAGACATACATACATATAGACCGACAGACACGCACAGGTACAGAGACAGACAGACAGACACAGTTACAGAGACAGACATAGAGCTAAACACAGAACAGATAAGACATACATACAGACAGACAGACACCGATATACAATGACACATACACACACTGGCACACAGACACACAGACAGACAGACACAGTTACAGAGACAGACACAGAGCTAAACACAGATAAGACATACATACAGACACAGACATAGAGCTAAACACAGATAAGACAGACAGACACAGACCAACAGACACAGACATACAATGACACATACACACAGTTACAGACACAGATAAGACATATGTACAGACAGACAGACACAGAAACAGAGCTAAATACAGATAAGACATACATACAGACAGACAGACACAGTTACAGAGACAGACACAGAGCTAAACACAGATAAGACATACATACATATAGACAGACAGACACGCACAGGTACAGAGACAGACAGACACACACAGTTACAGAGACAGACATAGAGCTAAACACAGATAAGACATACATACAGACAGACAGACAGACACACACATAGAGCTAAACACAGATAAGACATACATACAGACAGACAGACAGACACAGATATACAATGACACATACACACACTGGCACACAGACAGACACAGTTACAGAGACAGACATAGAGCTAAACACAGATAAGACATACATACAGACGGACACGGATACAGAGCTAAACACAGATAAGACATACATATATACAGACACACAGTTACAGAGACAGACAGACACACACAGTTACAGAGACAGACATAGAGCTAAACACAGATAAGACATACATACAGACAGAGACAGAGAGACACACAGAGTTAGAGACACAGACATAGAGCTAAACACAGATAAGACATACATAGACAGAGACACAGAGCTAAACACAGATAAGACATACATACAAACAGACAGATACAGACACAGAACTAAACGCAGATAAGACATACATACAGACAGACACAGATACAGACCAACAGACACAGACAGACAATGACACATACACACAGTTACAGAGACAGACACAGATAAGACATACATATAGACAGACAGACACAGAGCTAAACACAGATAAGACATACATACATACAGACAGACAGACACACACACACAGACAGACAGACAGACAGACACAGACACAGAGACCAAACACACACACACAGCTAGTCCTAGGAAGAAAACAAAACAAACAACAATACTTAAGGCTCATGATTTGGTCATTGGACATTTCTTTATACCAACAAATTCACTAATAATGGTATGGTCCACATTCATGAGGTTTTCCAGTTTATGGAGGTGTGTATTGTAAGGGGAACTCCACCTACCTTCTCCAGCACCACTGGCAGCCTCTCTGGGGTGTAGGTGAGGAACGGGAACAGAGCAGACACACACGACAACAAGCAGGACAGGATCAGGGGGTCCTGCAACACCCGGACAGCATGGCCACCTCAGCAGATTATAACTACATAACCAGTTAATACAACGTGAATAGGGTCACCCCACACTCTTGGGGTTAATGTTTTGGTGATTTGAGAGCGATCTCACAATGACTTACCTGTGTCTGGTAGTCCAGCACCCTCTGCAGCATGTCGATGCCCTCCTGGACTTCTGGTTTTGGTTTCTGGGAGATGAAGAGCCGTGACATGACACTCTCCAGGAACACTGTCAGGGCATCCCACTCCAGGAAGGAAGGCGAGCTGAATGTGCAGTAGCTCTTGTCTTGACCTGCACCAGAAAAGGATGGTTTGTCATTAATGGATCACAAGAAGATACTAAGAGGACATGTTTGTTCTTGTCTATTGCTGAACTCAAGCAGTATTCAAGATGTATGACTGACTGACTGAGTTTAGTTTTACGCCGCTTTTAGCAATATTCCAGCAATATCACGGCGGGGGACACCAGAAATGGGCTTAACACATTGTGCCCATGTGGGGAATCGAACCCGGGCCTTCGGCGTGACGAGCCAACGCTTTAACCACTAGACTACCCCACCGCCCCTCAAGATGTATGAAAGTGGTCTGTAAATATTGATGTCTGGACCAGACAAGTCAGCAGTTTACTGCATGAAGGACTATGTATACAAGCCATACATCACTGACTTGATCTTCAGCAACCCATGCTAGTCGTATGAAACGACTCATGGGATCGGGCAATCAGGCTTGTGGGCTTGGTTGACATTTAACCATGTTTCAATTGCATAGATTGATGCTCAAGATTTTAACCAAAAGATTTTCTGGTATAAAACTCAGACTACTGCCATATATCTAGAATATCGCTGAGTGTAGCATTAAACAGCAGGTGGTGAAATGCTTCAGCAGGTGTTCTGTAGTCAGACTTACCTTCCCCCGTGGCAACAGGCTTATGCAGCTGTTCGTGAAGCCACTCCATGGCTATATTGAAGGTGATCTTGGGCTCCAGCAGTGTCGCCTGCCCGCAACGTGAATGCAATGTCCACCTTGTACCCTGCAGGAAGACACACCATATCACCAAGATCACTTTTGCATTGTTTTTTATTATGAAAACATTAATTTAGAATGCCTGTCTATTCTCTCTTAAGCTTTAAACTGACTGAGTTTTGGTTTTACGCCGCTTTTAGCAATATTCCAGCAACATCACGGCGGGGGACACCAGAAATGGGCTTCACACATTGTACCCATGTGGGGAATCGAACCCGGGTCCTCGGCGTGACGAGACAACGCTTTAACCACTAGGCTACCCCACCGCCCCTTTAAGCTTTAAAGATTACAAAGCAGAAAGTCATGATGTTTGTACTCACTTGCAAAGAACATGTTAAATTCCTCATCACTGTCAAAATCCAACCTTGCATATTCACAGCTGGGAGAGTTGTTCTGACTGGGAAAGCCCACCTGTCAACATATTGGTCACATTTACGGTAATGCTGTACTGTAGTGCTAAATGAGTGAGTGAGTTGAGTTTGACGCTGCTTTTAGCAATATTCCAGCAATATCATGACGGGGGACACCAGAAATGGGCTTCACACATTGTGCCCATGTGAGGAATCAAACTATGTTGCAACACATGATCTGTTTTATAGAAATGTTTCCACAAACTATCAAAGTGTTCTGATTACATGGACAGTAAGATGATGTATGTCCCAAGTATTGTGAAGGTCCGGGTTAGAATTGGTCTTCAGTAACCCATGGTTGTCGTAAGAGGCAACTAATGAGATCGGTTGGTCAGACTCGCTGACTTGTTTCACACACGTCATCGTATCCCGTTTGTGTAGATCGATGCTCATGCTGTTGAGTACTGGATTGTCTGGTCCAGACTCGATTATATACAGACCGCCACCATATAGCTGAAATATGCTTGATCTTGATCACTTTAAGAACAAACCAACCAATATTGGGATGGATTCCAGTACCACGCATCAGTCCTAGGGGTGTCACGATACACCAATCTCACGATACGATACGTATCACGATTTTAAGGTCACGATACAAAACGTATCGCGATACATAATTTTCTCGCCTATTCATAGCATTACCTTTCCGGCAACGTACGCGCTCGCTGATTGGTCCATCAAAATAGTCTAGCCAATCACAAAAGCTGTTAGTTTCCAACCTATTTTTTAAGTAAAGCTAGCTACATCTATTTATCGGAGCGGTCTCGTATAATTTTACTATCAAGACTTTGAAGGAGATGGATATAGCATAAAAATTTGAATAGATTAAGTTTTAAAATAGGAATCGATACACGCAAGCATGTATCGCGTATCGTAACGTCAGTAAAAATGTATCGATGCATCGATACATTCGCGTATCGCGACACCCCTAATCAGTCCTTCCAAGTGTTGACTTGATTACTCTTTGTTTTCAGTGTTATTACTTCATATAAACAATGTGAAATGTCTCACATCAGCCCACAAAGAATCTCTTCACAGTCAACATATGGTTTAATGTTTTAACTGTTTCATATCCTGGAGAAAGTTGTTAAATATGCATTAATTGGATTTCACAATGTTTCAGCTGACCAATCAGTTGTGAGAAAGTTGCATCATATAGCAGATATTTCAATACTGAAAGTGATTTCACTTGATCCTTTAACACTGACCTTTAATAGTGTTTTAGTCATGGACTTGACAAGATGAGGTATGAAGGAGACAAGAACTGGATCCTCTGAAATACTTTCATGCCGAAGCAGAGAACTCCATAGAGTCTGGGTGTAGCTGCCTAACATCTGAAAACAGGGAACAAGCAGCAGTGTGAATACACAATGGTTTTCAGTCAAGCCTTGTGTTCACAGCATTCCGCCAGGGGGGGGTGCTACTTACATCTGAGTAGAGCGGAGTGAGTGGAGCAGAGCAGAGCGAAGAGGAGAAGAGAGGAGCGGAGAGGATAGGATTGGAGAGGACTCATTGAGATGAGAGAGGAATGGAATGGAGTGGTAAGGAGAGAAGTGGATAGGAGTGGAGCGGAGAGGACAGGAGAGGAGAGATGAGGTGAGGACAGGAGTGGAGTGGAGCGGGGAGGAGAAGAGAAGAGAAGAGAGGAGCGGAGAGGATTGGAGTGGAGTGGGGCGGAGAGGACAGGAGTGGAGTGGAGTGGAGAGGAGCGGAGAGGACAGGAGTGGAGTGGAGTGGAGAGGAGAGGAGAGGAGAGGACAGGAGTGGTGAGGAGAGGAGAGGAGAGTGTTGGGTTGGGTTGGAGAGGAATGGAGTGGTGAAAGAGGAGTGAGTTAGATTTAACAATGATTTGACAGTATCTAACAGATATCAAGGCATGTCAACCTAATGTCATTTTTATTCATATTCTTCATTCTTGTTACCTCACTATTTAAGCCCTTTGATAAACATTAGATCTGTGTTAAGAAGTCCATGCTCGCAACTTCTTGGCATGATGAATTATTCAAATGACTCAGTTATAACAACATAAGCTGTCACTCCTCTACCTGACTAGGGTGTTCCGAGAATGCCAAGAGAGCTTGAAGATATGTGGAAAAGTTAGGAGGCTGGGTGACACTCTCTGTTGAGCCCTGGAAAAACGAAGTAGGTTTGGATCAATCTAACAAGACATATCATGCAAGAAATGTAACAGCCCCTGTACACACAGGTACATTTCATTTATCTTATTGTGCACTGAAATAAAAAAGCCCTGCTTTGGTACTGTGTGCTCTCATGTGTTTCTTTGTTAAGACCCTAATCAGCCATATTTGATTTGGTTACTTGTGTGTCAACATATCCAATAGGGTGGTTCACTGCTCTTGATCACTTTGAGACTCTAATATTTACAGCTGATTGTTTGCAGGCCAAAACAACAAACACTATTATGGGATGCATCACAGTCCTTCAACACAGTGGAGAATGTATGGAGACATACAGTGGAGACTTTGTGGTGTGTAGACAGACATGATGCTTGACTGACTGACTGAGTTTGGTTTTACGCCGCTTTTAGCAATATTCCAGCAACATCACGGCGGGGGACACCAGAAATGGGCTTCACACATTGTTCCCATGTGGGATTCGAACCCGGGTCTATGGCGTGACGAGCCAACACTTTAACCACTAGGCTACCCCACCGCCCCGACATGATGGTTGAACTTACCCATAAAACACAGAGCTGTTTCCCAGTCTCTGTCAGCACCTGACACAACCTCTTGAGGAACAGGTAATAATACTCATCCCGAGATGACTTCTCTGCAGCTCTGCAAAAAACAACAGAGACAGTGTCAGTGAGTGGGTGCCTTTGGCATCTTGGTCTTACAAAGTGAGTGAGTGAATGACAAATGTTATGACTTTTTAGAAGTGACTTGTGTTTCAATAATAATATTACCAATACAGAAGAAGTGGCGTTACCTGAATGCAATGTCAATACAACTCAATTTTAATTTTAACAACACAAGTTTGCTCCCCACGAAACAAAGATATGTCTCTGTCGTCCTTACAGAGTGTAAACAACGTCTCACTTACACTGCAGCATTAAGTATTGTTGCCATGGCATCTTCACTGAACAACACCAACAATGGCTTTCTTTCTTCCAGCTTACCCTGAAATCACACACAGCAAGAAGCTGAAGTTGGTGTATTGAAGGAGGCAAAAACATTAATCTAAAATCCTGGACAGTCAGTACTCTTGTAAAACATTTTTATTGGGCCCGAAAAACAATACACATAAGACTGGTTGTGGTTCATTCTCTTCCCACAGAGGTTACTCCTGTCATATCTTCCTACGTAACCTCTGTTCTAATACGGCCCTTTCATGGTGTGAGCGTTCAAGACTCGTGATTGGAGGCAATCAGATTTAGTTGTGCAATCAGCGACGTTGTTTCAAAAGTGATCATTCGCAAGGCCTCGGTAATTTCCGTATGCTTCGAGAAAACTAAACTTCTTCCCCTGCGCGATGTGCAAACGTTTCTTCTAGACAGAACTCAGTCATGTTATGGCGGATCAGTGGCGTCTCCATCGCCCTCGTTGACAACGGACAAGCTAGCCATTAAACGTCTTGTGTGTAACATCAACACAAGTCCCCGGCAGATGGGGTATATTTTTGGCCCCACATTTGCTTGTGTTAGTCAAGTTGAATCTAAGTCGATGTGACAACTGTTCTGATTGGATAGAAAGAAGGGAGATAATTCGTTTTGCGATCTTTTGCCGCTAGGGGATTTTACGACAACCGGGAAATATGGCCGTATTAGAACAGAGGTTCGTAGGAAGATATGACAGGAGTAACCTCTGTGGGAAGAGAATGGTTGTGGTTGTGAAAGGGAGGAGTCAGAAATACATGTTCAGCAATATTCCAGTTTTAAAACTTTCTTACCTTTCGACTGACGATAAGCAGAAGACATTCTGCTGCAGACAACTGCAGGCTGCTGTCACTTAGCAACAAACAGAGGAGCTGCAAGAGGCGTCCGTCTCTCTCAACAATGTGGGACATGTTGACCCAGTCCACAAACCCTGTGAGAGTTGACAGAACTGCCTCACTCACACGACACGCTGCCAGGGCTTTCAGCTTCTCCAGCTCGTTCTCAGATCCTGACTGCTGAAACAGATGATGTTTTGTTACCTTGAAGGCTACCCTATATATTCCAGTGAGGTTTCAGTGAGTATCTGTGACATGTGGCTTATTGAGGACAGCATCAGCAAGGGTGCAGCGATACTCAAATGTCATCCTAGATAATCTGTATTCTACAAAGATACATACCCTGGACCCAGTTGCCGTTTCAGCTTCATTTGGATAGTCTGACACATACCTGACAATGCCTAGAACTGCTTTTGTCGCTTTCTACATTCATTTAGATTAAGGGAGGCATGTTAGAGACACCTTTGCTTTGATCATCTAGGAACTTTTAGCTTACTGGCCTCATTGTTAAAAAGGAGATGTTGAAAATGCAAAAGCTTATGGAAGATGGACGGACACTAGCAGCCACTGTTTTCAATCATGCAACTTCTTATCATTTCAAGGAGTGGCCATGACTTCAGAACAAGGATAAAGCTGGCGTGGTCTGTGGAGTTTATGTGAACCAAAAAGAAGATCCATCTTTTAACATAGTGAATGTTATTTCACCCTTGACTACGGAATAAGCTGCTCAAATTCCATTTTAATTAGAAAATATTACCCTTTTCACGTTGTGAACAGTCAATGATATTTCGAGAATCATCCATTAACCATAATCTGAGCATACTTCTTCATGAATTAATGTCGAGCTTTCTTCTGTGAAAGTATGTTTGTCACAGATAACTTCTAAGTGTTCCCTCTTATCTTAAGTTAACCATGCCATTACAGTAGAATACTTTTCATAACGAACACGGATATAACGAACTGACTGATATAGCGAACTGTTTTAAAAGTCCCGAATAAACCTTATATTATAATATAAAAAGTGAATAGCGAACTACGAATATAACGTACTAATTCCAGTGGTCCCCTGGAGTTCGTTATAAAGGTATTTTACTGTAGTTTGATCTATATAACCGGTACCCTCATGCAGGGAATGTTGACCACAATTACTGTTCTACAGTTCCAGTCTCACCAGCTTCCTGTAGAGTGTGGTGTTGTTCTCCAGCAGGGTGAGGAAGAAGTGGAACAGCTGTGTCATCTGTGAGGTGAGAGCCTGCAGCACCTCCCGCCGCCGCTGATGAGGCAGGTTCTGGAACGCCACCACATCCTCCACCAGACGATGGAAGATCATCAGCACCAGCTCCGTCTGAGTCTCCTGAAGAAGAAGTAAGTCATTGAGTCAGTGTTGATTAATTCTGCAGTCAGCAATATCAAATCTATGTCAGAACCCACCTGAATATGATCAAGTCTAGATCAGGCAAATAGAAATCATGAAAGAGGAACCAACAATATATATGAACAACTTACAGTGACTCTCTTTGAGGATTCAAGGTCAGGCTAATCATACTAAAAACCCGGGTTCAATGCCCCATATCGGAACAATGAGTGGAATATTGCTAACTGTGACACAAAAACTCACTCACTCACTGTTGGGTGTTCTGAGTTGGAACCAATTCATATGTGGGACTGATGTAGCAAATATATACATCTACCATCACTGAGTAAGTGAGTGAGTGAGTGAGTGAGTTTAGTTTTATGCCGCACTCAGCAATATTCCAGCTATATGGCGGCGGTCTGTAAATAATCGAGTCTGGACCAGACAATACAGTGATCAACAGCATGAGCATCGATCTGCGCAATTGGGAAACGATAACATGTGTCAACCATGTCAGCGGGTCTGACCACGCGATCCCGTTAGTCGCCTCTGACGACAAGCAGGGGTTACTGAAGATCAATTCTAACCCGGACCTTCACGGGTCCTACCACCACTGAGCATGCTCAACAATGACAATGCAAATCTTCAGACGGACGAAACGATCAGCTAAGAGAAGGTAACTCTATCCTTCAACCTCGAAACTCACTTTCCATGCTGACCATGAACAGACAAAATGTGGGGAGGTGGGTGGCCCTACCACGAGGAGGACTCTCTTCAAAGAAACAGCAACCTGTGCAGGTTGGTTTGATTCTTTTTCAGAAGAGGTCCTCCTTGGAATACTTATATGTATAAGACAGTATAAGACTCCCAAAGAACAGAGTCGGGAGTGGCATTCTGTCTGGCAAAACGAATCCAAATTCAAGTGGAATTCTCCAATCTATATATAGATTAAGATCGCACTTACCCAGTCACATGACCTCCTACGCCGATTAGGCGAGGACATGAGTCAGGATCAAGGGTCAAACTATTGCTGAGCTAACAAGTTACTGTTGATTAATGGCTCAAATACACGATCAGTGGAAGGCTGGGTAAGCGTTAGAAGTTCTATATGAGCCGTCACGTGGAAAGCAAGATTGATCTGAGAGTGGTATGTATCTGGGAGGCGAATACTGACATGATCAGTATGAAATACTGTCAGTGCCAGGTCAGTGGATATTGCATGGATGTCCCCGACTCTTCTAACGGACCTTACCACCACAAGTAAAGCCGTCTTCCACGTCAACAAGTGAAGTGAGAGAGACGATAGACTTGAAAAGTCAGGGCCAGACCACCAATTGAGCACAATTGGCAATTTTCAAGGTGGGCTGGTTTGCCACTGAGGCGGTTGAACCCTGTTCATGCCAGCTACGAAGCGCTGTACGAGAGGGTGATGCCTAGGCAGAGCACCGTTGAATGGGGTAAGAAACGTTGAAATAGCCATGGAGTACCCGCGAATGTATTAAGGCTCTCTTCCAAAACAGGGTTAAAGTAATTCCGATTTCCGAACTAAATCTGGAATTCTGGGTGTCTAGAGGTTAGACCTGACAGAGGCAAGGCACCCATTCAATCTGAAGATTCGGGTGTGGCACCCCATTCAGAGTAAGAATGTCTGGCCGTAAAGGTAATTCGAGACCTGTTACCTCGTTGTCCAGAGACTGCAGGTCGCCCAGAACACCGCCCCTACCCGGAAGAGGGATGTATCTGTTTGGAATGAGAGCGTTGGCATCTCCAGGGTGGAGAGACGAGTCTGTCCACCACTGCAGATGAGGAATCCTAGAACCCCGAGGAGCCAGTCAATTAGGTACGGGTGACAATGGCACTGCGATCCGGCTATCAGGAGCTGGAATCAACCTCAACATGGTGAACACCCTTGACGCCGTAGAGATACCTAAGGGGAGCACACGAAACTGGTAGCACGTCCTGTCGAAGGATGTAATTCATGGGATTCGGGAATGCATTGGAACAAGGAGGTATGCGACCTTGAGGCCAATCCCCTGCCTCGACAGATGAGATCACTGAGCGCAAGTCTCTAGGAAAGTACCTCTATGAACTTGAACAGCCCTCAGATTGAGAAAGGGTCTCAACATTCCGTTCTTTATGGTAACGAGGAAATAAGTGGAGTCAAACCCTACATTTTCTGACCTTTAGGAACCATGTCAATGGCTGCCTTGCCCAGCAGAGACTAGATCTCAGCACGGAGTATTTCCGCCTTCTCACAGGGTTTTGGAGCAGAATACAATAAATCCCTGCAGTTGGCAACATGTCGTTAGCCAGTGCCGGGGCACCTGAGTGATTAACGAGAAGCTCCACAGACTTCCGTTTTCCTCGAAACAGCCACAGGCTCAGTAGGCCCATAAGCACACTCATCATTTGGCTGTCACTGATGAAGAATTACCAGCGCTCTTTCCCCTTTCCATCAGCTCCCTCTGCAGAGCAGAGAGATGCGCCGGGTGGAGCATACAGCGTTGGGCTGTTATGTGGGAAGGACGGCAGACTAACGGTAGAATGAGAGGCCGTGTCCCGGATGCCTTGCTGGAACGAAAGGCTTCCCCCTGGGAGGTGGAACTCCAATGGTTCGGGCCCTCCTCATGGACAACACCTGAGGCAACACAGCAAGTCTATCTCGCACTTGTCTCAGGGACGAACTGAGTCATCGTAAGGTTCAAAGTATCGAAAAGAGCTGATGCTCAAATCGACTTGTTCACTGTTCGAGACAGAACCCTGGTTCCGAGGCACAGTGGAAGCCTGATAAATCAGTGTTCCCCAAGCACTCAGGTAGACCTTGGAGTGTCAAGGTGACCGGTATCCCCAGCACACTCGACAAACTCTTGGCCAAGGCGTCAATAGACATTAGGCTGAGAAGTGATTTACTGGCGCCAGGGGATCTGCGTCCTACCAGAGCTGAAGCCGGGTCGGTGCTACTCCCACGGTTCAGAGCGTCCGCGGAGCCGTAGCTCGGTGCGAGTCCCCAGGTTCAGAGCGTCGGATTTAGCACCTGGTACTTCCAAAAGCGCACTGAGCATACAGATACATGGCCTATAGCGCTATATAAACACACATATATATATGTACAGGGGTAGACCTCGAAGTGTCGAGGTGACCGGTAGCTCCGTCACACACAACAGTCTCTTGACCAAGGCATGGATAGACATCAGGCAGAGACTTGAGCTACCAGTGCTGGGGATCTACGCCATACCTGGGTCGGTGCTAGTCCCCAGGTTCAGAGAGTCTGAACCCCGGTCACGAGACACATGGGAGTAGCCTAACAATGCCGGGTTACCCTGTTACTCGGATAGACCTCGGTGCATCGAGGTGACCGGTAACTCTGTCACACTCAACAGCCTCTTGGCCAGGGTGTCGATAGACACCAGGCCGAAACCTGAGCTACCAGCACTGGGGATCTGTGCTGTATGGGACAAAGCACGGGTCAGTGTGAGTCCCCAGGTTCAGAGCGTCCCGGCGCCGAAGCATGGATCTGATCATCCCCTGAACATCATCCCAGAGCTGGAGCTCTGTTCGGGACCTTCCCCTTAACAGATGCGCCGGGGCCATTTCTACCCTTAGGCCGGGTACCAAGCTCCTCTCACAACCCGGACACCACGTCTGAGATCAGAGTGCACACCGACAACCTCTGCTGCCGCTATAAGTACGAAATCAATCGTTAGTGGAGCAGCAATATTGTTTGTGGGGGAGGTGAAGGTGGGAGATAAGAAAAGAGTTTCCATAGTAATCTAGCCTTTTTACCTCTTTAGAGGTTGTAGCTTACTCATTTTGGACGGGGGTCCTGACCCTAAATATTATCCTCCGCCTGAAGCAGATTAGTGAAAACATAAAATCTGTGTGCCTGAATGAACACGCTTGAGGCATAAGTCCCAGGCAGAATACACAAACTTGGTCGCCATGAGCCTCATTGTGAAATCCAAAGCAAACATAAAAGCAATGCTGCAACATATCCGCCATCTTGTCAAACACGTAGTTTGAAGAGGAGAATTTGGAAAATATAACACTAATTGCAACACAACGTGAAAAAACGATGAACGATATTCCCCTTGTAGTATTGCAAAGCGATTGTACAGAAGAAATCACTTGTTGCGTGACACCGTCAACAACAAAAAGCACCAGCTAGACGTGATGACATGTCACAAATAATAATTATGTATGTATGTAATGCGATGCAATTATAATACAAGTGACAAGAATCCTTATAAGCGTAAAAGCCTTGCAAGTGAAAACGAATAGGAATTCAACTTGAAAAAGTTTAGAGGACAGCAGGCATGTTTTGCACCATGTGAATGACAGCATGGAAAGTGAGTTACAAGGTTGAAGGTTCAAGTTACCTTCCCTTGGCTGTGGGGTCCTGCGGGGCCCTGCAGGGGTGGTTGAACAAGACAAAAACGAGTTTTTTGTTTTGTAAATATTTTATTCAAGATATAGTTACAACAATCATAGGAATTTTTAATGGACATAAGAATGCTTTTAAGCATCTCAAGGAGGACCTATTCTGAAAAAGAACAATACTCCCAATTTGAAGGTTCAAATAGAAGCAGATGATTTAAACTTTGCATATATATTGCATATATACAGCAACTGAACAGACGTTCTAAGTGACGTCTTGTCACATATTTCATTACAAGACAGGCAGACGGAACCAGCCGTCTGCTCTCCAGGCAGATGCACTATTCAATACATCACGGAAGAGTTCCTATAACAAACATTGTGTCTCTACATACCCCATGCTGACACAGGTCATGTAGTTCGGTGAGTAATGACGGCCAGAGTTGAGGCCATTCCCTTTTGATTAGCTCCACCATGATCCGAGACACGCCATCTTTGATATGCAGCTCCTCCTCCAGTAGACTGTGTGTGCCCTGTGGTAAGATGAAATCATCATGTTATTGTGTGTGTTCTGTGGTGAGATGAAGTCATCATGTTATTGTGTGTGTTCTGTGGTGAGATGAAGTCATCATGTTATTGTGTGTGCCCTGTGGTGAGAAACAGTCATGTTATTGTGTGTGTTCTGTGGTGAGATGAAGTCATCATGTTATTGTGTGTGCCCTGTAAATTATCAAAACTGACTAACTAGAAACAAAATCATCACTCATTATATTGCAAAAGTAACTTTAAAATTTCAGTTGTGACATCAGAAATAAAAACATTTGAAGAACAATACCAACCTGATCAACTAATTCCATTGAACTTTTCTTTAAATTATCCTTATCATTTTGTGACATAATATGCCATCGAAACCTGTAACAGAAAAGATCGTTTAGCTATTGTAAATGCTGTATTTAAAATGAAACTTTATATCTTGATAATTAAAGAAACAACTTACATTACTGGATACCCTGATCAGAATAATGATCAGTAGGACGGACTTAATTCAGTGAAGATTGATGCATCATGATTAGCATGTTTCTCAGTAATAATGACTAATTACCCACTCATACAAGCACAACACAACCAATACCTGTGATGAAAGTGCACAATCATGCTTTCTGCTATCTCTCATGGTGGTAGTTCTGGACAGCAAATTGAAGTGCTTAAGTTTAACCTTTCCAACCAAGATCAATTTTCTTTTCTGACAATTGATCACATTTTTATGAGGGGTGGTGGGGTAATCTAGACATAAAGCTGTCGCTTCTCAGTGAATACATGAGTTTGAATTGTCACATGGTACAATGTTTGGAGACCAATTTGACTGTCCACAACCATGACATTGCAGGAAGATTGCTAAAAGCATAACCAGTCATAATGTTCAGAATATATCTTTTTAAAAACCAAACATGCTATACTTACTTGATACAGTGTTCAACTAACTGTAAACCAAAGTGTCTTAGAATGGGAGAAAACTGTTTTCCTGCTAAAACCAACCCACAAGGTAGACAATCTGGGGAGGATTCTTTGAATTCTTCACAAATCTGCAATTTTGATGAGGATTTATTCAACAAAATGTAAGCATTGTGTTTTCATTTGTCAGTAAGTATGGTGCACTTCAAGGGTTTATGTTTTGCTAACATTGTAAAACACTCAAAATACTGAAATATATTCAACATAACATGTTTATGACATAAATTTAATTGTACATCAGTAGAAGACTAGAACATACATGCAGTATTGAGCAAGGTCAGTTGATTATTTAAATAATAATCTTGGTCAAAGGGAGCTAACCATTAAAGTACTCATCTTCATATTGTGTAATGCTTCCTTAATAAATTTGTCTTTTCACTTGATTTTAAAAGGGCAGCAGACCTATAACCTCAATGACTAAATGACAATTTCGGCCACAGTTTCAATGCATAAAATCTTCCTTGCAGATCAACTGTACATACTATAGTTTGGTAATGTATAACAATGATGTGTCATTATTGTGAAGGCACTGTCATATCCTGACATGATGTTAAAGGATAACTATCTGTTTCTTGACAAGTTAATTATTGTTATATCAGATATGTTGGAAACTGATAAAGCTAATTGCCTGAGTGTCTGTTTTCTAAATGTTTGTGCAATATGTGATGGCAAGTCCAAAAGCTATGAAAAATTATGCGTGGCAAGCCTCAATAAAGGATACATTTCCACTGATTTGTATAAAACACCAAACATTTTCTACAGTCATGTTTTGTAGTTGATCTATTCAACTGAAATTGAATTGAATATACCCAGCAGATATTCTACTGTTCTACTACATAGATGTCGAAGCTAAAACAAAACGAAATAAAAATGTTGTATGGTGCTGAATTATTGAAACACATATTAAGTTACTCATTCTTGAAGTATGATGATCTGAGTTCAATTATATGAGCAGAGATACGCCCTTTTCATCGATACTCTATTCAAAGGATAATTTCATAAGATCGTAACTGGCAAAGATGTTAAAAACAACCTTATGAGCTGTAAGACGGTCATTGTGCCCTACAGACGGGTTCATAACAGTTTCGACAGCTTCTGCTAGTCTTGGTATTATGTTGTCAATACGGGAACTCATTATTATTTCTTATGATTTTTCTTCGGAGAAACAACAACCATTTTTCATTCAGAACGCACACGTTTTCTTTCAACCAATGAAATGTCCGTATTTGGCGGAAGATGTACTTTACAGACTTAATCACTAGAGAATACTTCCGGAAGAAGAATTTCATGGCTGAGCAAAGTGAAACTTGTTACACGAAACATTAAAGTGTTGTGAGTAAAATATGTCAGTTATGTTTTGGTTTCGGAATGCACTGGCCTCAGTGAATCAGATCTGACACAGTTTTAGTTGAAAATTATATCATCGACAAGACAACGCTCATGTCAAGTGGTCCAGTAGGTGTTGCTTTCTCTTCCACTAAGTTCCAGTGTCGCTTTTACTTTAGTAACAGATTACTAGACTAAAGCCATGGTATAATTTCAGATAATCATAGATATAGCATTTACGTGTTATAATTTTGTGAATATTCGGCCACCTCCTAAAAGCATTTTTGTTAGGAAGTGTAAAATGTTTTCTTACACTGCATGTTCACTAATACAGACAGTTGTTGCTTATTGTGATCATCAATAAGTTCACATATTGTGAAGGATTTCAGATAGATATGCAAATTGTCGGATCATAGGTTTTCAGATGGCAGCATCTACGTGTTGTGTCACGCAGGGCTTCTAAATTCTCGAATGATGGTTTGAGTTTGAAGTATACTTCTTTCAGATGTGGCCTTTAAAAGTAAGTGATATGTTTTGTGGTCATTCTCCAAAGTTGTAAATGTCTGAGACCTGCATCCTTTTGTGCTTTCTCACATGAATGTGAAATTCCAGTGATGCTTAAAATCAACTCACTCACTGTAGTTTCAGGTATCCACCATAATTTGCTCGCTCATTACTCAATATTCTCTTGTTTCAGGCCCGGCCTGATATTTCAACCCTATGCTAGAATGTAGAACTAAAGGTTGATAATGTATCCATTCAGACATCAGAGAACACCTCCCTCTGTCCTTCTCCATGGTGACTATGGCCCTTACAACAAGAGGGAGCTTGAGGCGGCCAGAGCTCAGTTAATTAATGATGTGTATACTATGCCTGGTGCCATTTTGGACAGAGTGAGGTCAAAGTGTGGAATCATTCCAAATAGATTTGGGGTATTCAGTGGTTGCGAGCCTCATCCAAGGACATATGTGTCTTATGAATCCCAATCCTGTGCTTTGGTTGCTGAAGGAGGATGGCCAGAGATCATTAGGGAAAATCCAATTGTTCAAAATGGTGGTAGCAGGTATGAACCTGAAAGTCACTCCAGTGGTAGAGCTACACCAACAAGTAGTAGAGACTCACAGGTATTCAGGTCTCATGATGATGAAACACCATCGACGTCAGGAAGTGTGAAACGAAAAAATGACATGGTGGAAGATGATGATGAATTGTTTGATGGCGAAAGTTTTAAGAAGTTGAAGAAATGCGATGAACTTGATGAGCTCGACGATCTTGAAGTTAGCGATGTCTCTGACAACATAGATAGTGATGAAGAAAGTGTTGTAGGCTTTAAATGTGATCTGTGCAAATTCACGTCTACCGATGCTGGATTTATGCAGAGCCACTTAAAGGACAATCTTCACTTCTCTGCAAGTGAATATGAAGGTGTCATCGAAAATCAAATCTTCGTGCCACAAGGGCTTTTGAAACCAATGACACATATACATGAAGGTGGTAAATTGCAATGCCTCATTCCAATGTGTACAGTATGTAAAGAAGTGTTTAATGACGTCCATTCATGCTACAGTCACTCTCAAAAGACTCATAAGATGGACAAGCCCCTCTATGCTTTAAGTGTTGTGAGAGCTTGCAGAACGGTTATTTTCAATCTTCCCCCTCAGTGTCCTGTATGTGAAATGTTTTTCAGTGGGGCTGCTCAACTATACAACCATTGCAGATCATCTGGACATTTACTCTACAAACCACCAGAATCCAATGAAAGAGTGTTGCTGGTTTGTATTTATTGCAAATCTGAAGTAGTGTTCACAGACTTTTACAAATGTCAGGATCATCTGTTGTGCAAGCATGGTACTGGCAAACAAAAACTTGAGATGAAGATTCTCTATGTAGAAATGCCAACGGAGGTGAAAGAGATGTTACCTAAAGTTGTTAGGAACAGTGACTACCAAGAATGTCCTGATGTGCCCCGTAGAAAGAAAAAGAAAAAGAAGAGATCAAACCATTCCAAAGGAAAAAATGCTAAAAATAATATGGCCAGGAAGGGTGGAGGAAAGTCTTTTTACAAGGATCGTCAGGTATTTAATTATTCCCACAGATCTTCCAAGTGAGGTTATTTGGTTGAGCTGCTTTTGTGTGACATTTATAAACAGCTCATTGTCAAAGAACTCTAGCTAGCTGTTGCCAGACTGGTAACAGTTTTCAAGGCTCTACAATAGATATGAAGAATGTTCAGCTTTCATATTCTGAACACAATCAGTATCATTACTATGAGTGTATTCTGTAAAACAGGTCACTGTTTGCATGCATCTACAATGGATGAGGGACGTCTCTATATGAGTTTCATGTCCTGAAGACAGTCTGTATCAATTTTTTCTGTAAAACAGGTAACAGTTTGCATGCGTCTTCAGTGGATATGAGGGACGTCTCTATATAATTTTCATATTCTGAAGACAATCTGTATCAATGTATTCTGGATTACATGCAATCATGCCTGGATTTTAGCTCCTAACCAGGGTGCCGTTGTACAAAACGATCTTAGCGCTAAGGTGACCGTAACTCCCATACCTTAACATAAACTTAAGGTAGTCTTAGCGCTAAGATTGTTTTGTACAACGGCACCCTGTTCAGTACAAGTAAGTTATAGGATGCTCTGATTGTTGTATTGAATTGCACCCCCTGGAGTGCCACACATCTATTATCATTGTTTCAATCCTGGTTTGTCTTGATAATGTGTCGTCACGATATGGCTGAGATATTGCCGATGTGACGTTAAATATTAACTCACTCACTCACTTGATAATGTGGCGATACTGCTGTCTTCCACATGCAGCTTATAAGCTCTGACTCACTTAACTTGTATCTCATCTGCTTCCCCTAATTCTATCCTAAGCTCTTGGATCTGCTTTCTGATTAAGCACCCTGTGTGACTATCCAGTAGAGCTGTGAATTGGTTGAAATTTCACAATTGATGATTGCTTCATTACCAACGAGCAATCATTGAAAAAAAATTGGTTAGAGTCATTTTTCAGATTTTCCTATCCAGGTTGTTATTGCAGATAAATACTAATATATCATGAACATAAACTTCCCGGAGTTTTCAAGATATATTCAGTCATGACTTTTCAGTTAGTGAAAGAAAAAACAATTTTTCAGTCCCTGACAACATTGAATATATGTTTCATCATCAAGGGTTTCAAAGACTAAACAGTAGTTCCAAAATTGTGTGTGTTCGATTATGAGAAAATGTGATCGGTTGCTTGGTCGTTTGGTCACTATGACCAATCCTCAGTTATTTCAATTGATCGGAACACCACTACTATTGGGAGCACTTTCCAAATTAATGATGATTAAGATGGTACATGTCTGGCTCTGAGACCTGTACCTATTGAGGCTTTCCTCCTATGTAAATCTGACATGATCATCATGTAATGTAACTGAAAGTCTGTTTATAAGTGGCGATAAACCAAACTCACTCACACAAACATGGCAGGATTCAGTGTGACCTGTGAAACCGCTCAAACATATTGTCAATTAAATGTTGGCAAAATCTGTTGTTTTCTGCACATCAATCAAGCTGAGACTGTTTTTACTTATATGTGTGAATTATGCAGTGTATGAAATAAGCCAAAAACCAAGTCAAACATCAGGGCTGGTAACTCTAAATCTAGACCATCCATCAGAAATCTAGCCTGTCTCGGGCGGTCGGATGGGCCTTATTTCATACACTGAATTATGTAGTATGTTAGAAATCAAGTCATCAGTTGTAGAGATATCCAGCCTGTATATGTTGTATGGCACGCTTACTGTCCTATGATAATCAAACATGCAAGATCCTTTTTTACATATGCAGGAACTTGATTATCAGAGATTTTGGTTACGTTTTAGTATTCATTTAGAATGTTATTCTTGAAGTTTTAATATGTTGCTTAAATCTGGCAAATGTTTATTTCGCATGTTTAGGTAGGAACCTTTTCAGTACTTTATTATGGTTACTGTTAGAAATTCTTACTTTGTTCATTGTTACACACAAGCTTCATGTACTGTTTATTTGAGTTTTTGTAGTTGTGTTTTGTCATGACTGTTGTCATTTCTGTTTGGTTTTACTTTACTGGTAAGGATTTATGTCATTTTCTTTGTAACCAATTTATCAAGTTTTACTGACACAGAGAAAGGTAAACATGCAAAAAACATGTACATTGAAACCTGGTAATCTAAGTTTCATTTTCATTTAAAACTGTCATCATACTTTCATTCACAGTATACTATCATGAATATATTGGTCCTAGCATGATGTATAACAATTACAAGTGAACAAGACTTAACTTTAGAAATTTTAATATACCTACATAAATAAACCTTTGCTTCTCTTAAAGATTGTCTTTAAGTAGGAACATGATGAGTTAATTTTGTATGTGAAAGTACAGGTGTGGAAATAACAGTGATATGTCAACGTCAAATGAGACTGAGACTATCCTGGGTATTTACTGGCTTGAAACTGACTGGAATTAGGAGATCTGGTCCTGGGCCTAGATTTTCGAAGCTCTCTTAGCACTAAGATAGTCGTAAGTTAATGTTAATGTATGGCACTTACGACTATCTTAGCGCTAAGAGAGCTTCGAAAATCTAGGCCCTGATTTCTTGAAACAAACTTAGGTTTTTACTCAAATGTCAAACTGAGTTTTGTAGTCAATACACATCTCAAGTAACTAATACCAACTGAAATATTTTGTTCATATTTAAGAAAAATATTGTTGAAATATCTTAAAATTGAAGAAAGATAAATTGTAAATGCAGTCTGTGACTCTAGCTGTTACTCTGAAGCTTGGATTTAGTCAAATTTAGTTTAATGATAGGTCATATAATGACATTAAAATGTACAAATAAATGATGCTAAGAGCTACTTTTGGCACAGATTGCACACAATTTATTTATCACCACTGACCGACTGACTGAGTTTGGTTTTTCATATTTTTAGCAATATTCCAGCAACATCTTAAAATTGTGGGGACACCAGAAATGGGCTTCACACATTGTACCCATGTGGGGATTAGTTTAATGATAGGTCTTATTCCAGCGAAATAGCGGGGACACCAGAAACGCTTTTAACCATTAAGCTACCCCACTAGCCGCCCCATTTATCACCAGTAGGGGTATCTTCCAATAATCGACTGCTTCAATAATCTTAGTGTTGTAAATGCCAAGATCCATAACAAATTGAAAGAAAGGTGGTCATACCACCGATTCATATGGAATTATTTAGATGGTGTGTGTAGTACGTCAGACACATGGCCTTGAATGTTTGGGAAGGAGCCGTGACAAAGCCTTCAATTTGTATGAGGGAGTTTTTTCAAAGGCTTTGAAATATTTTCAAGATGCCATTTCTCTTCTGAAAATGTCAGACTTTAAGGTAATTAAACTGTGATCAGTCACTTACTTTATAGCAATGTTACAGGGTATACAGTGTCAGATACAGGAGTTTAAAAAAGGGAAAGGTATGAAAAAATGAAATGAGAAAGAAACGAAACGGGATAGACTCACACAGGGATGCACATGATGTTGTAGTGTGAAAGTGGGATATTGAATATACACGGGGTTGGTTAATAATCATGATAATGATCGTGTTTATAGGGTTATACGTTCAGGCATTTTTTGTTATGTTCTATTCATGTAATGTTAGGGGTGTCAGAGGTTTCTGATTCAATAGTCAGTTTTAACTGTCAAGAAGAGACATGTTTTTTCTTGTTTTATTAATTTTGCTGATGTGCAGGTGGGTCATATTACCTTTGTAAATATCTCTAGGAAGTGTATCCATCATATGGAGAGAGAATGGTTTGTTAGGATATTGATTATATTAACTAAAAATAAACTTTGAATATGTTGTTTTTCCGCCATATTCTGCTTGGCATTATCATATGCCTGTTATGAGGTATTTCAGTGAGGAGTGTGGAACTGCAGCATTGTGAATTACCTCCCTTTGACCTTACCTCAGAAGATGAGGCCTCACAAGAACGTATATATAGATGCATGGCTGGATGTTTTCAGCAAGTAAGCTCTCTTCATCAAAATATAATTGATCATCAGTTATGTTTCCAAATATGAGAAAAAATGTGTTGCTCATATTATACATGGCTACTCTGCAATGACTGTCTCACCTATAGTGGCGGTCTGTAAATAATCAAGTCTGGACCAGACAATCCCATGATCAAAAGCATGAGCATCGATCTATGCAACTGGAATACTATGACATGTGTCAACCACGTCAGCAATTGCATAACTGTTGTAACCCAGATCTACATGGGTTGTATGAGGTTAATTTCTGGTATCCCTTCACCTTAATGGCATATTGAGAAGCAGCTTCAAACCATTCTCCCTCACTAACTCTATGCTGCAATTTCATCACAAACAGCATGGTCAGGGCTTGGTTTTGCATTATTCTATAAAAACAACACACAGAGAAGAAACATATAATGGAGTGATTTATTTGTCGATTATAATAAAACAATATTACATGACATGAACAACTGACACATGAATATAGTTACTTCACACACAAGTGACTGGATGACTCCATGCAGTAAAGGCATGTCACAGTACTACTTAATACCCAAGATTGTTGCTCTGTGATTATGTGCACAACGTAACATGAATAGCTTTGACCTACCTCTTATCTCATGGATTACAGATTTACTCTGCCATGTTGTTGTGGCACATGCCCAATAGACAGCACATAACACGTTTATTTATTTTTTATCTAAAAAACAAGAAATTATGCAAAAACTGGAAGGGTTGTGCCTGTATAAAAATACAAAACAAGTCAAATTCGTAGTTTATTGAAAACAAATATTGGTGCAGTTGATCACTGATCCAAGTTTAAAACTGGTTTTATGTATTTGTGTGGGTGATTTGATCTGTGTAGCATTTGTTATATTCTAGGGATTCCACGTGAAACTAAGGATCATAATAATCATAAAACAACCGACAGATCCTGGTCTGAGTGAGTGACATTAAGTTTTCAGATTTAACAAAAATTGGACTTTTGGGATTTGATACTTTGTCAGATTTTTCACAGACAAAAGAGAACATGCATCATTCGGTAATGCTAGTATACAGTATTAGAATAACTTCAGGATACCACTGGACAAGGACTAGAAGCTCTCATACACAATGCCAGGGATAATATACATGTATACAGTTTGAGGAGGGTTGTTAGGGTGTGATTTTTCATGAGACAACACATGAATACACCATGCCATTTAAGAAAGTAAAGATTCTAGTACATTTTTCACACAAAGTACTTGATCTAGGCTACCTGTTGTCAGATTTCCATTTTTTTTAAGGAGTGGTGGCTGAGGGGGTTAGATGACTTTGTGTGCTTGTGATATAGTGCCTCGGTCTGAGATTGGGTTCGAATCACAGATTGAACTCAACCCTACAAGTATGAGAATCTGTACTTTACTGAGA